GTCTTCTTACCGACTCAAAATGTCAAATGCTTTAATTAATAAAATTTAACTATATTTTGAGTTTAAGCTTTAACGGTGTAAGAAGTATGAATACAATATAATTATGAAATAGAAAATCAGATTTAACGAAATGTCATAATGTTTCTTACATAATTTAATTCCAACGAGCGCTAATTCTCGAGCCTAATATAAAAGCACCGCTTAACCACGGCGTGAAAAGTTTTATTAAAAACTTAACGCGGACCTTTTACGCGGGTTCAAGTAACGTAAAAAAGAAACTAATGAACGAAAGCTGCGCTACTCCGGCATTGCAGTGTTTTAATGCAGTCCCCAGCCATGTACTATATAGGTACATATGTAGCGGGGCCTTTGCGATATACTTGTGTTTATTTCAGAACAGGAAACGAGACAGAGATAGTCGAAGCTCTATTTAGTGCACCTTGTGCAATGCTAGATGTATTTTATCAAAAAAATCTTAAATGTAATTAATAATTTTATTTATAAAATAGGTACCCATTTCAAATACATTTATTCGTATGACTAAGTGACTGTTAAGTTGAGGTTATATTTTTAGTTACTATAAAAAAAATATGTACTTATAAGGTTTGCAACAGCTTTCTCTTTCCCACGTAAATAAATAGCGTGCTACGTTTTTACTCAGTCCAAACTATAGGTCTATCCCTATGTACTATACATGAACCAGTACACGTAACCATTTGTAGGTTTTATCGCCCTTGTAATAAAGGTGAAAATCATCCTTGGCACATAATCGCCGGCTCGGAGGTTGTGAATAGGCCGCGCAAAGCCTGTGTGTTTAAAAACTATTTTTAGATTTTTGCTATGGCTGGGACAAAAATGAGAAGTGCACTTTTTGCGTCTTATGTTACTTGCATGGTAAATTCTGTGACATTTTACTTAGCGTCTCCATTTTATTTACAATTTATAATCGTTTTACATTTTTTAGATTCTTATGTCCGTATAAAACTATTGTTGTATCTATTAATTTGTTCACTTACCATTAATTAAAGGTAATGTGTAATGAAATATATATATATATATATATATATATATATATATATATATATATATATATATATATATATATACTTAATTCAAATATACATACTCGTACAAGCACTTATAAATATATTAATATTAATAGAATAACATTTTTTCCATTTTACTATACGTACCTATATGTACTAACCTCAGACCAATAAAATAGTATTGGTCTGAGGTACTAACCTATTCCATTTCTTACTTGATCCGTTACGCACCAAATCTTAAAAATTGCAAGCTTTATTTTGGCGGGAATGATACTTCAACTTTTAATAACCGATAACGTCAAAAAAATTAAAATAATTTTCTTATAAGAGATTTCCTTCCTAAAGTAATAAATTAATAAAAAGGATTTTCGTAACATGAGCAGGCTTATGAAATAAAAAGAAATCATATATCCTTTCAAATGAATAATAGTGCATTATAAAAAAATGTAAAAATCATTTCATATTTTGTATAGTAACCATATCGGTTGGATCCATCGAAATATATGTATAATGGTTGAATTGGCATTTTTGCATTGAAGGAACGTCCGGCTTTAAACATCACAAAGAGAGTGGCCCACGACTGGTCCACGGTCTTGCGTCCATTGTCTCCTCATTATTTAAATATCTTTTATTGTACGGGTAAATTATCAAGATGTGACACACGTGGCTTCAACCGAGAGGATGCATATGTAGTGTTACCATATAACATATTCATATATTAACATTATATAAAACAAAGTCGCTGTCTGCCTCTGTCTGTTTCTCCGCTTACTTCTTCTAAGCCACGCAACAGATTTTGATACAGTTTTCACTAATAGAATAAACGATTAACGAGGAATGTTTGCGTATACAATTTATAAATATTTTGTATAAAATGGCTGAGCTATGACGCTGTAAAACTTTAGAGATACATCAGAACAATATATTAGATAAATTAACTTTCCTGTAGGCCTTAAAAAGCCTACACAGAAGTCAGCGATATCATATTTCTATCTAATTCTCTACATAATAACTATTTTTATTAAAAAAAAAACATTGCTTCACAATGTTCAAAATAAAACAAAATATAAGATGCACATAATCCCTATTTCCAATAACATAAATGGTGACCCCATGGCTGCATTAAATGCAGCCGAAGCGGGCGTCTAGTTATTAAAATCCAGTTATTATACGTAGGGCCGACCTAGGCTGCTAGGCTAGACTGGTTTCACCGAACCCAGCTGTAGCGCGCTCAATGCACTTAGCGCAACGGAATCGCTTTGTAAGCTTTGATTATACTTTTCATTACCGTTTTTGTTATAGTATCAAAGTTTTACATTCGCATCTGCATTTTGATAAAATAAATATGATATTTTTAATTTATAAACAATTCAAGTAACCTTTTTGGTGCTATTGAAAGTTTAATTTTGGTTAATTTAATTTAAAAAAGAATATAATATGTAACTATTTAAAGGAGGGTTCGAAATTAAATACAATGAAAACATAACTTTTTCACCAATTAAAATTTGGCATTTTTATGTAAAAAATCCACACATCTCGTGTCTGCCACGACCTTAGAGTACATTAAAAATGAATCTACCAAATGAACTGAATTAAATTTTTAACATATTAATTACTAGCAGAACAACCGATTTTGCCCGCGTTCAGACTACAAAAAAGTATTTGGATGCATAAAGATCTATACATATAATAAAACTGTAGAGGTCGAATGTCTGTACATAGAAAAATATGTAAAACCGAGTCAGGGGGATGTAAGAAGAGAAACAGAAAAAATCCAGTTTTTTTTCAATTTTTTAATTATTTCTCTGTCTGTTTGTACGAGCTAATCTCCGAAACTGTTGGACCGATTTAAAAGAAATTTTGCATGGTGGTTACCTTATATCCCCGGTCAACATTTTAGATACTTTTCATCGGAAATAGTTTATTAATTAAGTGGGATAGTTAAAAATGTTACTTTACTAACTTATACAGCTTAGTACACAAAAACTTCTGATTGGATTTTAATGAAACTGTATTAGTTCATATATCAGAATAACAAATAGGCTACTTTTTATCCCGGAAACCGACAGTTAATCTAACTGACAGTTAAATTAACTGGAGGTTATACTAACTGACAGTCAAAATAACTGACAGTTAAACTAACTAGCCGTTAATCAATCTGACAGTCAACATACACTGACAGACAGTTAAACTAACTGACAGTTAAGCTAACTGACAGTTGAATTTACTGAGAGTTAAACTAACTGGATGTTAAATTAACCGACAGTTAAATTAACTGACAGTTAAACTTACTAGCCGTTCATAAAACTGTCAGTTAATCTTACTGACGGTTAGTCTTACTGACAGCTACCCTTACTGACAGTGAAAGAAACTGGCAGTTAAACTTACTGATAGTTAAATTAACTGACAGTTAAACAAACAGACAGTTAAACTAACTGACAGTTAAGCTAACTGGCAAATAAGTTAACTGACAGTTAAACTAACTAGCCATTAATCAAACTGACAGCTAAGCAAATTCACAGGTTAACAAACAAACAGTTAAAGAAATAGTTACATAAACAAACAAATAAATATAAATATTTTATATCTTTTAACATCCCAATCAACCACGTAGTCCCAAAATCCAGCGGCGGGGCCACCAGGGCGATGTTGCAATTTCGCTGAAAATCGGGTCTATACTGAAGCGACAAAAAAAAACATTTTCAATGTTAAAAATTATACATTGTCGCTGTTTCTGTGCTCTTTACCCCTAGAATAAAATAACTTAATAATTAAAACATAAGAATTGCCTATGCTAATGATACAAGCAAGCACGTATTGTGTTCAGAATATAGATCCCCAAAAACAATAGTTATTAAAATTTCTATATGTTTGTCTGTACGTCTGTTTGTAAGTGCGCGTTTCACGCAAAAAATACTGAACCGATTTTAACTAAACTTATTAATGGGGTCAACGTTTAGGATACCTTTTATTACATGAAAATCTTTGATTCTCACAGGAAAACACAATAACTGGTTCTATCGAGTCGTCCTTCGAAATTTATATGGCTAACGCTGGCTAAACATTAAGAGATACCTAGATCAGAATAAAAAATTAGAAAATTGTATGTTTAAAAAGGCCTGCAGAAAAATATGCAATAGTACGAGTCTTTGTCCTAAGGAACATTCGCAATAATTATTCATCAATTTAAAACATAATATCTTTATTATCTACCGACGCAAGCAAAGCGAAGGTAAGTCGCAGGCATGAACGAATTAGGATTAATAAACGATTTTTTTCTAATTTGTTCATGATCGCAGGTCGCTTGCTTGATAATATAATATCAAAATCTATAATTGGAAAGCACATAATGCTAAGAAACATTTTAAATGGATCTTCCATATTTGAATTCCAAGTAAAAACGTTTTTTACTTGGAATTCAAATATTATTTAAAATAAGAATACAATATAAAAAAATAAATTTAAGTATGTATTTGTTTTTTACATCTATATCTGTGTATAGATTAGTGATATTCTTTAGTCATTTTATAAAGAACAGAACGTTATAAATTATAATAACACAATTATGAATATATCTATCACTTAACAGTTCATCATAAAAATTGACATTATTGAATCAATTTTTAACTTATGTCATTAAGAACATGTTTAATTTATACTACAAATTACTTATATGATACTGATATTTTTTTTTAATAAAAATATCCCTTATATTTTACTATATAATTGTATTATGAATTAATCTTTTTTAGAGTATTAACAACATCGGTTATTTCTGAACTAAAACATTTGTATCATATTCATAGTTGGTAATATAATCTGTGACAAAAAACCTTCAGTCATTGAGAAATGGGGGTGCTGTCAAGTAATTTAAAACCCTGTTTTTTGGGTTTATTAAAGTTTTTGAACAACATGAATTGGTTTATTGTGTTTTTTAGCTTAATTAATTTGTCAATGTGTATTTATGAAGATCAAATCGGAAAATTCGACTGGTAATTATGTGATTAAGGTTATGCCAGTTGTACGACTTCGCAGGGTCGTAGTTCGGTAAATAATTGAAGAGTTTTGCTTTCAGGCGTCAAACTTATGTTGGTCGAATTAAATTCGCACAATTTGATACTGTATCTACTGCAAAAAAGATCATTGTAGCTACTGAAGAGAATGTATTGGCTGCCCTAAATTTGAAGACTGGTAAACTATATTTTATTAATGGTTCCGGTTAAACTCTGAATTTATACTTTCTTATTAGTTTATTCTTGTTTATTATATTCTCTAATATCTTAAATTATAGTTAGTAAATATAATTAGCCTACATCAATATTATTATTCAATAAATTATCATGTAACTACACTTCATATTAAGAATAGAATGAATCAATTATTAGACGTAGTATTTGGTGTTTCTTTTTCTCATAAATATGTTATTTAAGATTGATGATGATGAATAAATTTTTCCATTTCTTAAGAAATATATATTATGTTGATTAACTTTATAGGTCAAGTAGTTTGGCGGCATGTATTTGAAAGTGCATCAGCAGGCAACATACAGTTACTTCATGTAGGAGAAAAAGTAACAACAGTTACTGGATCTAATCCTTACCTCGTCCGAGGATGGGATACAGCTACTGGTAAGAATTCAATTTTATTTCATTAATTTGTTACAACAGTGAACATTTAAATTTGTTGTTCACAATACATTTAAATATTCTCAGTTTTACTTAAGAACTTCACTGGAATTGACTTACTAACATATTATATTATATTAAAATCTTTATTAAATAAACAAATTTTATTAAATTAAAAGCTTATACTATACAAAGAATAGATAATGGTCAAATAAATCAACATTAATATAATATAATATCTCGTTTTATCTTCAAAGGAATCCTGCTTTGGGAGTGGTCTTTAACTCTCCAAGATGACACTATATCTGAGTATTCAGAGTGGTGGGTGCAGAATAATATGTTAGTACACATGTTACCCGTGTTTGGTTCACATGTAGAGGTGACTATGTATAATTTGTTGACTGGGAACAATCGAGGTGCTACATCTAAGCTACCAGCTATCTGGACTAATGAAGGGTGAGACACTAAACTCTTTAATTTTTGTCAAATAAAAACTATATTTGCGAGTTCAATGATTGATAAGACATATTTTTTTTTATTTTAAAAGTATAACTTATCTTCAACAAACCTAACATTTATATTAATTCTTATTAAACAGTTTTAGCAACTTATACTATAATCAAATCAAGCATGAAATTTCTCATTGCTTGTGAAAATTCATCACTTATCATTATTACCTTACATGCTTATGTGAAATAAAAATATAATTTATTTAATTGGAGTACTTAGCTATAAAATTACTTCTAGGTGTGTTCTAAGTGCACCATACTACATTTGTGTTTCTGGCGAAGCAGGAAGTCGACTGCTACTATCAATAGATGTAACTTCTGATGCTGTAAAGATATTGAGCAGACCATTAGCAGATTATATTAGTAATGAAAAGACTTTCGGAGGATACTTAAAAGCTCTGAGTGGAAACAGTGTAGTGCCAGGTTTCACAGTGGATGATAAAGTTGTGTTACTTATAAAAGGTGATAACTACCAGAAAGCTAATGTAGAATTGGCGAAACAAGGGAGTAGTGCAACAGTTATTGATGGTGCGAATGAAAATATTTTAGTGCAAGCTTATACTGATCAAGTCAAGGTATTTTTATTTATTCTCTCATAGTATTTTAAGTAAATTTTTATATAAGGATGACATCCATTTGATAATTGTTTATGTTATTTGTTTATTTGTGGTAGATTCCGCACGGACTTACTTCTGCCATTTAATTTTAATTTTAATAATATAAAAAGTGACAGTTCAAAAGTTCTTGTAAAAGTCTATTTGTATAAAGTATATTTTGATTTGATTTGTTTTTTATACATTATGCCTTAGTATTGTTTCAATTACTGTATTATTGTTAATGCTAATGAAAGAGAAGTGATACAATTTTAAATGATAGTTTTTCGTTTTAAAATATTGTTGCATTCATTTCTAAAGCAGAAGTTATTCATGGAGTATGTTTGTTTTTTAACACTGTAACAGTTTAATACTTTTTAATGAAATCTGAAGTGAAGCTTATATACTGATGATGATCATTTCTTGCAAGCATATTTTATCATTATAAACATAAACTAAAAAAATTATAATAATTTAATACAATGTTATAACACACATAAATAAATAAACGAAGCAGTTTGTAAATATAAATTGTATCTTTCCAGGGCTTCACACTCTCCGCCCATACAATATCCACTGGTAAAGAAGTACCAGAGATTCATTGTATAGACCCATCTATGAAAATACCAGAGCCTGAGTTAGTGGAGGTGATGTGCACTCGTACTGCCAAGGAACAGCATGCCTGTAGATTGCTGGTAAATGGGGCTGATGATGCAGTGCATTTGATGCAACAAGGTGGTGAGTTATATATTTATTTTTTATTTTGATGAGTATTCTTCCATTTAGATCGATGTGAATCTTTTATTAAATGAAAGATTGTTATTAAATGAAATAAAATTAAATAAATTATTAATTAAATTGTTTCTTGTTAAATACATGGTCTTTTAAGCTGTTTTTGATTTGTAATGCAATAAGATCTCTATGAGTCTGTAGGAACCATTGTTTCTTGTCCAAATAAGAGTGGGAATTTTATAGTTTTAAAATATTTAGTTTTAATTAATTGCGAAAATTTGTACTCACAGTGGATGTTACTGAGAATTTCTTAAAGTAAAACTCAATAAATATACTTGACTTAATCAGAAACCCGAACCCAGGACCTCCAGTTTTACAACCGTACATGCTAGTCACGACACCAAAGAGGTAGTCACTGGTAATAACTAGTTATTCAAGTACTGTTATAAAGAGAAAAAAAAATGTTTTTTTGTATGTTGTCTATTTGTTTGTAATGGATGAACTAAAAATCCGCTGAACCGATTTAGTTGAAATTTTGTATGAAGATAGTTCGTGACCCTGGGAAGGACGTAGGATACTTTTTATCTCTGAAATCATCCCTTAAGAAGTTGAAAAGGAGGTGAGAGTTTGTATAGGGTATCAATCATTTCCCATGTGAGAGATATAAAACTCATCATACCTATGTATATAATGTATACTAATATTATAAAGAGACAGAGTATGATTGTTTGTTTGTTTGTTTGTTTGAACGCGCAAATCTCAGGAACTACTAATCCGATTTAAAAAAATATTTTTGCATTTGATAGCCCGTTCATTGAGGAGGGTTATAAGGCTATATATTATCATCATGCTACTACCCGAGGGAGCGGAATAGTAATCATAAATATCAACAATTCTGTCAGACTGATGTATGAAACATTATTATTAATAGCATAAAGCTAAAGAGTTTTTTTGTAGTTTTAGCCCGACCGAAGCTGCGGGTTCTGCTAGTAATAAATAATCTATCTATTCGTATCATACTAAACGCTTAAGTGAAGCGACACTGGGTAGTCTATACTAATATTATAAAGAGGTAAAGTTTGTGACGTTTGCTTGTGGGGGGTAATCTCTGGATCTACTGAACTGTTTAGATGAAATTTGGTAGTAATGAAGATAGTTTGAGAACCTGGGAAGGACATAGGATACTTTTTATCCCGGAAATGATCCCTTAAGGGGGTGAAAATGGGGATGAAAGTTTGTATGGGAAATCAAACTAGGAACGAACCCGAGCGAAGCGAGGGTGAGTCGCTAGTTAGTCAGTAATTATACACTCGGGCAGGTCGCGTGCTGTGGACGCGCGAGGAGGCGCTCGCGAACGTGGTGGCGGTAGAGTTCGTCGACTTGCCGGTGTCAGAAACTGAGGCGGCGCTGGAATCTGAGTTCGATCAGAAGGAAGGTTTGTTATGTTTTTTTTTTTTGTATTTTACACTAGCAAATAATTATAGTTGTATAAAAAAACGAATGAGAAATGTTCCATTGTACCTTTATGGTTGTATCAGCTTGATGGTATCAAATTTATTTCAAAACGATAAAACAATTAATATAAGATTAAAATCGATTTATTTTATTTATTTTGTTCCCTAAAATTAATATAAGTAAAGTCATTAAAAATTAATAAACTAATAAATTTATTAATAAACTAATAAATTTATCAATAAAATAAATTTGTATTTTCCAAAAATACCTATTTTTTCCAAATTATTGATTTTGCATATTTGTCTTTTTTTAGCTGCCAAGGTGTATAGTAAGTACAAGTTGACCGTAGTGGCTAATACGTCTTGAGCCATGTATTGGTTCTCTTGCCATGTTTCTTATATCTCATCCCCTTTTGTTGAATAACACATCTTGCTTTCTGTTTTGATAATATTCATTTTTGTTCAATATTATATAATTGGCTTGTTTCAGTTTTGTGTTTTGGCTGTTAAATATGCTATTGCCTTACTTGTAGCTAATTATTTTAGTTTCTTCTCTCCTGTTTATTTCTAAACAGCGAAATCTTTACCTACTCGAGCGATTGAATTTACTTGTTATATTATATAATTGACTGTATTGAATTTGCCTGTACAGTTTTTCTTCTTGTGTGATGTATTTTTCAAATAATTTATATATACTTTTTTTGTCGACATACATACCTACATTGCAAAAAACTGCATGCATTTGTATTTTACATGAATGAATTTAAATGATATTATTTGTTTTATAAGCTTTTGCACTAATGAAGCCACAGGAAAAGTTGTTTTTTTTTTAAATCAATCTATGAGTTTTTAGACAATAATCCCAAATACACAGACAATCAGACAAAACCTTTAATATAGTCTTTGTCAAAAATCTCTTTAATCTATACTTGTTTATACCATGGATTTGAAAATTATTATTTATTAAAATAAGTAAAATAATATATTAAAACCCGGTCTAGAGACTAGCATGTATCTTGAGGTCCTGGATTCGAATCCAATAGTAGAGTTTTTTTTTATCAAGAAATTCTCATTAACTGCCCAATTGGGACATTGGAAGCCGCATTGGATTTGGAGCTTAAGTGTGATAAAGAAAAGAGTGTAGTTTTGCTTGCACGCATACTTATACACCATAATATCTCCTGCGTAGTCTCAGTCAGATTGGTCATTCTGACCAAAACCGGTCAGGATGACATTATTATTATTATTTGTATATCTTTGGGTTTCACGTTCTCCAAGGTCCTTCCTTTGGAAGGCCTGCGTGGGGACACAGGTCCAACACGTAGAGGCCCCTAAAGAGATTCAAGTTTGTTTGATGTTACACATCAGCCGGGATCCATCTCTGAGTAACCTATAGGGAATTGCTCAAAGATGGCATAGTGCATATGGACTATGGAAAATATCGAAAACTAAAAGGGTCCATGGAATGGAGTTGGGATAGGCTACAAGTATTATTATTATATATTTTATATATAATTACAATAGGTTCTGTATGGTCTGCATTTTCCCGACGTCTCCACACTCAATACCAACAGCTGCTGAACCTCATAAAGAGCTTCCAAGGCGAAGACGCGGTACAAGAGACCTCGTCGTTAGTTCGAGATTATTTCAATTTACACAAGATTATTGTTCTCGTTACTGATGCTGGAAAGGTAAGAAAGAGAAAAGTTTTTGGTTTTTTTTTTTTAATTTAAATTTGAATAGATAATAAAAAGGTTGTAATTATTTAAGAACAAATAAAAATCTAATAAAATATAGTAAATTTTGGATAAATTAGTATTATTATAATGGTTATGTAAAATAAATTATATATTTGTTATGTCTTTTATGTTCATATCTGGGTGTCTTTTGTTATTTCTCTGATAATCCCTAAACTACCTTATTGGTGTAAGAATGAGGGCCCAAAAAAGATATTGGATATTTCTATTAAATAAGTGGCAAAAATCAAATTACTGTACCAGTATATATTGTATTCAGCCCTTTTTAACGTCCCACTGTTGGGCACAGGCCTCCCTTCAATACGAGGAGGATCAGGCCATAGTCCACCACGCTGGCCAAGTATACTTGCTAGGTTCTTTTAGACATACAGGTTACCTAACTAACTTTTCCGTCATCATAAAACAAGTGGTAATTATATTGAAAATGATTCGCACATGAAAATATCAGAGGTGCGAGACCCGGGATTTGAACCCGCCTTCACTCGGTTTTCCAAGCGAGCGCTTTACCACTGGGCTACCACTGCAATACAGTATTTTAATTACAGGGGAAAGTGAGAAATGAAAAGAAAAGTAATTAATTTACTTTTGTTAAAAGTAAGCTTAAGATGTTTTAGTTTTAACACATTATATTTAACATTATATATAAACATTTATTGATCAGGACAAGTACTTATCAAAGTTAATAAGTTTTAAATATTTTTTTACATGTAATAAACTAAATCTAGATATATAAAACAAAATCGTATTAGGTACACCATTTATAACTCGAACGGCTGGATCGATTTTTATGATATTTGATTTTTTGGATTTCTCTTAATTCGGAATAGGATAGTCCCATGCCTTTTTATCAATGAAATACTCATTATTATTGTCATACGATTTGGATTTAAGTTTTATTTAAAATGTTTTTTCTAGATTTTTGGCATGGACAATCTGTCTGGTGATATCTTGTGGCATATATACGATCCTGACTTGAACCCTGAGAACGCCGTAATATTCACCAGAAGGTCGGCGAGACACGCGCCCTTCGACGCGTATGTCTCTATAGTGGCTAAACATGAGGTATGTATTTCAGCCATTTTTAACGTCCCACTGCTGGGGGTGGGCTTCTCTTCAATACGAGAGGGATCAGGCCATAGTCCATCAGGCTGGCCAAGTGCGGATTGGTGGTCTACACACGTTTTTTGAAAACTTGCTAGATTCTCTAAGACATTCAGGTTATCTCAGGATGTTTTCCTTCATCAGAAGACAAGTGGTAATCTTGTTTAAAATGAATCGCACATGAAAATATCAGAGGTGTGAGTCCCGAGATTTGAACAAGTATACAATGTATAATCTATATAAATAAAAATGAATGTATGTGTGTATATTTGCGCTCTATAAGTTCTGAAAACCATTTATCTTGGCGCACGCACCTAAGTTAATTGAGGATAAATAATATATACTTACAGAAAAGCTAGTAGTTTATCTATACAGATAAATTAATTTAAAGTGTCTGTTTGCAATGTCGAAATAAAAGCTTTTTACTAAATACATATGAAAGTATATACGGTGCTTTAAATTTTTTTAATTTTTGTCTGTTTGTTTGTTCCGGCTAATCTCCCGGAAAGGCTGGATTTTGACGGGACTTTCACTGGTAGATAATATTGTAAGGAGTAACTTAGACTACTTTTATTTTAGAAAAAGAATTAGTTAAAAAATTTAAAGCATACCGAGGGACGTGACTCGCTAGTCTATGCTAATATTATAAAGAGGAAAGATTTGTTTGTTTGTTTGTACTGAATAAGCCTCGAAACTACTGGACCGATTTAGATGAAATTTGGTAAGAAGATAGTTTGAGACATCCCTTTAGAGGGTGAAAATGGGGATGAAAGTGTGTATGAAGAATCGAGCTAGGGACTAACCCGAGCGAAGCGAGAGTGACTCGCTAGTGAATAATATAAACTTGTTGAAACCCCGCAGGAAACGGGCAACGGTTACGTAGTGAGCCTGAACCCCATCCGCGGGTCGCGCGCGGGCGCGGCGCTGCGCCTGGACGCGCGCCTGCTGCAGGCCGCGGCGCTGCCGCGCGCCGACGCCGAGCACCTGCACGCGCTCGTGCTGCTCGACGAGGACGAGAATGTACAGGTACTTATTTGCTAGTATTTATTAAAAACTCGCGATAGAAAGATCAAAATATATACGAAAATTACATTAAAACTTTGTGTAATAGTATAAAAAAATATTTTAAAAGAAAACAAAATCGAAAGTGCATACATATTACAAGATTTTCGCTATAAACAATAGCATTCCCAATGAGGGTTGACGTCGGGCAGGCGGCCGGTCGTAACACTTTTGCCAAATCCTATCAGCAGTGTACAGAAGATGTACTGCGCCGACCCCGACTGATCGGGAAATGGGCAGGAAGAAGAAGATAAAAAATTTGTCCCAGATGTATATTTGTCCCAGACTCAATAGCTTTATTGATATCGAACTCAGAATCTTTGAATTTGCAGTCGTATATGCTATCCACTTACTTACTTGAATAAAAAGCAAAATATGTCATGTCATATGTAAAGTAAAATAACCTAAATTAGTTTGGAAATTGACCTTTTTGAATAAATTCATTAACAAGTATATAAATTACTTATGTATATTAAAAGAAAATAGCTTTAAAATTTTATATCCATCTTTTTTGTTATACATTAATACAAAAAAATATCGAGTTCATTTTATTGTATAAAGATATAATATCAGAATAAATATTTTATTTTTCCAGGTGCTTCCCTTTTCAGCGGAGTCTTTGGTGGAAAATTTCTACATGTATGTAGCGGATAAGGAGACTGGACACGTGCAGGGATACGCGCTGAAATACAATGGAAAAGTAAGATTTTAAATTGATTTTAATTTTTATATAATACACATGCCTATATTGTTCATTTAAAATCTATAAAATAGTAGCATTTTTAGTTTATTTTAAGCTTATATTATGACTGCTATTTAATAATGTGTCAGCTATTTTTAGCTTGTGCAATATCTCCTGCGCATCTGGCTAGTCTCAGTGAGAAAGTATTCAGCCCTCTTTAACGTCCCACAGCTGGGCACGGGCCTCCATTCAGTACGAGGGGGATCAGGCCATAGTTAACCGCGCTGACCAAGTGTGAGTTGTCGGACTTTGACCTTCGAAAACTTGCTAGATTCTCTCAAACATTGCAAATTTGCTCACTATGTTTTCCTTCACTGTAAGGCAAGATAGAAATGATTCGCACCTGAAAATATCAAAGGTACGAGACCCGGGATTTGAACCCAGCTTCACTCGGTTAACCAAGCGAGCGCGTTATAACTGGGCTATCACTATCTTCGAAATGAGAGTAGGACATTCTTATTATGATAATTATTCTTCTGGTTTTTGTTTATATCTAACTAAAAACTGCTTGTCATCCAAATGAATGAATAAATAAATGATACCGTACGTGGCAGGAGGTGGTGGCGCAGCGCACGTGGTCGGCGCGGCTGGGCGGCGGCGTGGTGGCGACGGCGGCGCGCTCGCGGCACGAGCGCGTGCGCGCGCCCGGCCGCGCGCTGCCCGACCGCAGCGTGCTCTACAAGTACTCCAACCCCAACCTGGTGCTCTTCGTGCTCGAGAAGGAGGATCCCACGCATAAAGGTTGGCGCTCAACGACTCACCGCTCTGTCCGATACCGCGTTGACAGTGACCGGCGCGGCGGTAAATAATGCGAATATCGAGCTAAAGAGAGAGACGATCGGCTAATTTCTCTACCTTTTTACTGTTTGAATTGTTTGTTTGTGGAAACTTTTTTGGTGTATTTACTATTGTTAACTGTTTTTTGTGTTGTAACACTGTAATGATAAATAAAATAAAAATAAAAATTTCGGTTTTGTAGAGCGTCGTCTCTGTCACTCAGTCAAGTTCCCGGTAGATACCGGAGTGTTAGTGCCCCGTTCGACAGAGACGAGGCTCTACTAAGCCGAAACTAGCCGATTGTCTCCCTCTTTAGCTCGATGTGCATTATTTACCGCCGGTCACTGTGCGTCTTGGTTTGATTCATTTAATGTATTGTTTTATTGGTTTATATTTATTTAGTTTCGTACTCATTGCACGATTGCTCTGTATTGTATGCACGAAGCTGCAAAAATATAGGGTTATTAAGAGTTTTAGTGTCAATTTTATGATTTTTTTCAAATCTCTTATATGAGGAGTCCATATATTATGTATATTCCAACATTTAACTGTCTCAAGATATAAGTAAAAATAATTGGAATTGGATTCTTTAGTATGTATTATTGAATTTAATTACAAGCTATAAACTATATTAATTGTACTAGCTCTAGTAATTTTGTAACAATTTCTAAGATAACTAGCAATTCACCCTCGCTGCGCTCGGGTTCGTCCCTAGCTGGATTGCCCATACAAACTTTCATCCATATTTTCACCCCCTTAAGGGATGATTTCCAAATAAAAAATATCCTATGTTCTCCCCAAAGTTAAAACTATCATCTTAAGAAATTTCATCAAAACCGGTTTAGTACATCCAGAGATTACCCCCAACAACGTCACGAACTCACAAACTTTACCTCTTTATAATATTAGTATAGACTAGCGATGGCCAAGCAGATGGTGTTACGTATATATGTGTGGCGTGTGCAGAGGTGGTGACGGCGGTGGTGCTGGACGCGGCGACGGGCGCGCCGGCGGCGGCGGCGTGGCACCGCCGCGCGCGCGCGCTGCCGCTCGCCGTGCACGCCGACAACTGCTTCGCCTACCTGTACCGCAACGAGAAGCATCGGCGCGTCGAGCTGGGTCGGTTCAAACTGTTTACTATTCATATAAATTAAATTACACATTGTATGCTATATAAATAAATTAGAAAGTTAGTTAGGCTAACTTGGGCTCATTTTCGTTGTTTTTTGTTTTTTTTTTTGAATAGACAAGTGGTGTAAATAATGTGTATAGTTATTGAATTTTTTTGATAAACGTGATAAACATCTCAAAAAATCTTCTTAAATTTTGTAATACTTTTTTAGTTTAACGCGGATATGACACTTTAAATAAAGCTATATTTTCGGATTTTTAACGGATTTATTGATTTAATTGCTTGATTTGAACGGTAAATTGCTTTAAAACGTTTGGTACGTCGGTGACCAAAAATCCAAATAAATATTGTCCACATATATCAAATTTTAATTAAAGGAAACATTCTTTTAATTTAAAATAAATACTCCTTATTTGAATAGTCGAGTATAATATGAACCGTGTACACCCCAGCAACGATCGAGCTGTACGAGGGCGCGGAGCGGTGGCTGGAGGCGGGTGCGCCGTTCAGCTCGCAGGCGGAGGCGCGCGCGCCCGCCGTGCAGCGCCGCGCGCACATCCTGCCCGCCACGCCGCTCGCCGCCGCGCTCACCGCCACGCGCCGCTCGCTCGCCGACCGACATCTGCTGCGTGAGTGCACACACACACACACACACACACATATATATATATATATATATATATATATATATATATATATATACTCGCACATAGACGCAACTCACATACACGCGTACACAAATGCACGCAGACAAACACACATACACTTAGATGTACATACAGACACGCATACATACATAGACATAAACACGCACACACATACACACGGGTAGGCTTGTGCGCGATGGTACTAGGCGAACATGACGGGCCAGGAGTTGTTATGTGTACGACCACATACTTGTAATATACAGAAAAATAATTAACAAATACTACTCTTTCTTACAATTTTATATTTATAATTGTAGTGTGATAAACAAATATACTATTTATCAATGTCCCTATGATGCAAATGAAATGGCTGATAATTAAGATACTTATTTCTAGAAAAAAAAACACTTACAAGAGAAATTCAATAGCAAAAAATAGTAACAACTAATCCGTGTCATGGCAGCGGCACTATAAAGATATAATAATGAACTAATAACATATATGTATGTTGTGTGATAGTGGCGCTGACGCGCGGCGCGATAGTGGAGGTGCCGTGGGCGTACCTGGAGACGCCGGCGCCGGAGCTGCCGCTGCCGCCGGACGCCACGCTCAACTACAACCGCAGCGTGGCGCGCGCGCGCCGCGCCGCCGCCGCGCCCGCCGGCCTCGAGTCCACCAGCCTCGTGCTCGTCACCGGACTAGGTCGGGATATAGAAATAAACACAATAATAATATTACAATAGCACACACTAACTTTTAGTGATAGTGATCTATACACCTAGACGGATAAATAAAATTTAAGTGTCCGTTTGTAATGTCAAAATAATACCGTTTTACTAAATGCATATGGAATTGTATACGGTACTTATACCAAAAAAACAATTTTTAATATTTTCTTCTCTCTGTCTGGCTGTCTGTCTGTATGTTCCGACTAATCTCCCAAACGGCTAGACTGATTTTGACGGGACTTTCACTGGAAGATAGCTGATTTTATAAGGAGTAACTTAGGCTACTTTTATTTTAAGAAAAGAATTTAGGTTCTACTTAAACAGATTAAAAGTCTGCTAGTGCTAAGCTGAAAATGCTAGTCTGTACTAATATTATACTCTATTAGATTTACGCGAATAAATATAAATAATATGACGCGGATTTTGTCGCAGATTTATTTTAATTTTTTGTTCCCGACACACACACACACAGCAATTATGGTCTCGGGAGAGACCGTCGGGAACTAAAAATCAAAATAAATCTGCGAAAAAATCCGAAAAGATAGTTTTATTTAAAATGTACTAATATTATAAACGTGAAAGTGGTAAAAAATGGTATTTTTGTCATTATAAAACCAACTTTCTATATTCCCAGACCTATTCTACACGAGAGTGGCGCCATCTAAGACATTCGATCTCCTAAAAGACGACTTTGACTATTACCTTATAACGCTAGTGCTGGGCGCGCTCGTCGTCGCCACATACAGCTCTAAGTACTTCGCTTCGAGGAAAATGCTCAAGATGGCGTGGAAGTGATGTAAATTCTCGTATATTTTGCATTGAGGTACATGACCTATTTTGATTATTATTATATAAGTATGGAAAGTCACAGCACGAACCGTGAACATAGATCCAAAGCATATTATACTAGCGAATTATCCTCGTTTCGCTCGGGTGCATACCCAAGCTTAAATGGGTAAAAAATAAAAGACAAACGTCCAAAGAATTTTTTTTTGCGCCAGGGACCTTCACAGACGTATACAGAATAACCCATTAAAATTTCATCATAATCGGATCGATGGCTAAGAAATGCATAAAGGACAAACATACAAACAATTATTTTTATTTATATATGGATAGATATATTACGACACATATATACTTACATGAAAGCGATTGATAGTTGAGGGATATGTGCGCGTCTATTTGATGATAAATATCGTCTGGACCGAATGAATATATATTATACATATGTATTAGGGTGGAGCGAAAAAAAAATTTTTTTTCTTAGCTTGGTGGTAGTATTTGTGTTTCACTGTAATTCACTGTAATATTGTATTATTTCAATTTTAAACAAGTTGAAAAAAATAACTTGTTACTTTTTTGTATTATAGTGAAAGTTGAGTAGAAAATAACTATTCGTCAATTCTTGAATATTTTCGAAGATGATCACGCGAAAAAAAAATCATTCAAATCAAAAAAATTAAAATTAATTATTTTAAAAATCAGTTGGCCATCTCAAAATGTTGAGTAAATTTTTCATATTTATTTCAAAAATTTTGTTAATTTTACCACCGCCCAAAAACTATGTAAAAATTTTTTTTCGTTCCGCCATAGTATATGTTTACACTTTATTGGCTTTTAAAATCACATTAATGTTGTTAAATATGAAATTTTATGTTTGTTTCATCTTTACGCTAAAAGATTTGAATATGTGGATTAAGGGGATAACCTACCACTGCTAAATAGACCAATAAAGTTATTGGTCACGATTTGTGCTGATATCTATACTTTTATAAATCGAAAAAGACAAAAAAATACCTGCCGATTATATAACCTCCTATTTGGAAGTCGGTAAATAAGTCTCTTCCTAATAGAAGGTTTTGTTTTGTTTACAATCTCAGTGATGACGTCATTATAGTAATTGTAGTTTGGAAAAAGATTTTGTATGTCAATTGAAGTATAATTAAATTCTTGACAATGAGTCAGAATCGCGTGCAAAAATTTACATTTTATATGGATAGTAAATGTACGCAACTTAAGTTTAATATTATGTAATGACGTCATCGCTTGGTGTTGCCACCTCCTTATATTTTAATTTTTAAAGTCATGCACCCAGTTTATTATGTAATTAAAATAAAAGGTAGTTTGAGTTGTATCTAATATGTGCTAAGTCATTATGAGTTATCAATTACAATATTTATACAAATAATAGATTTTATTTTAGAAGTAATGCTTCTTTTGGCACGTTTGAAAAAAATTATGAGAGTAAAATTTTTAAGATGCGCGCGCACACCGACAGCCAAAAATCGACATGATAAAGTTAGCTGAAAGCGACATGATTAAGTTAGCTGCATTCCTTTTATAAACAGAGACTTGTGACATACAGGATGAAATCTTTAGCTATTTTTGTTCTGTTACGCCAAAGAAGTATAACTTCTTACGTGCGTACAGAAGTACACACGCGTTTTTTTTTTAAAAGCCATATAGGTACAGTTCAGACTAAGCACAGGGACTTGTAGGTGATGTATGCAATAGCCGTGATTGTGGTAGCCTTAAGGAGTCATGTTCCGTATTATATATATTTATTAATAATAAGTATTACTTACTTGTATCGTTTGACAGTCCTATATACTGTGTTGCCAAAGTTTCATTTATTTTATTGCGTGGCTCAAATTGGCGGGAATTTTGATTTACTAATAAAAATAGCCCTGCCTAGCTGTGACGTTTTTATTAGTTTTTTTTTAATTATTACAAAGTGTTTCAACGAAAATTTCAGCAAAGGTTGTAGATTAAAAATATTTTATTATGTCATTTAATTTAGTTTTCGAATTTTTTTTTAAGTCTTATTCCCGTAGAATCTGAACGAATAGAATATAATATTATTTATTCTCTTATGTATGTATATAAAAATATAAAATTGTTCAAATCAACTTCTTTGTTAAGTGCAAGTTCGAATTCAGAAACTCTTATATCTACCTACAAATGAACTTCTTCAAATGTAATTAAGATTAACTATAGCTAGTGCAATTTAGGAATATTATTTATTGAATGTTATTCAAATTAAAGACCACTCCAGACAGACATAACATCAAATATTTTATTATATATGAAACACGTTTAGGTAAATTATTAAATTTACATATGTATATAATTTACTAAGAGAATGTCATATATACATATAATTTAGGTATATTGCCCATATGTTGTTCGGTCATTTCTACGTGATTGTAAAACAGTTTTTTTTATTAAAACCTACAAATGTGTACAAAATGGAACTTTTTATAGTGAAGAAATTTTGATTTAAAATTTGAATTATTTATTGTTATTAGTTACACCGAAACTTTTTTCAAATAAAATTTAAGATTTCGCATATGAATTGCGACTTTAAATTGTATATTGTATTATATTTTTGTGTTTTCAGCAACATTCAGAGCTAAGAATTTATAAAAATACTGTAAAATTTTAAATTTATCATTCACAAAGTAAAAAGTTAGATCATTTGTGTAAATAGTAACGTATAACTAGATAAATAAGCCGAAACATTATAAAGTAGAGTAAGAATATAAAGATTATTCATTATATATACAGGAACTAGTGGACTCTACAGACGTTGTTTGTCCAAACATAAATAAATCTTCTGTACGTGTGTATATAAAAAAAAACACTTACAACCCGATTGCAGCGCCATATACCGGGTCCATTTGTGAATCTTAAGCATCCAAACACAAATATTTTTTTTCATCAAAATCGGTCCAGCCGTTTAGGGAGTTCAGTGACATACACACGTACAAAAGAAGTATATATATAAAATATTCATTGTGTACGTACATAGGTACTCTAATCCCGAAACAAACCTATATCCACATTATTTATCTATGATATGATGAAATGGTATTCACATATTATAGATACATATTTTAAATTGTATTCAATTCAGTCGAGACTTCTCTAGACCAGCGGTTCTCAAGTGGTGGTCCATGAAACCCTAGGGTTCCGTGGCAGGGTCACAGGGGTTCCGAGTTCTATCCGAGAGTTAAATAAAACGTCAGACATGAACCCTAATTTTAGTGCTATTATTCATATGTGATAAAATTTCGTTCGTCACATTAAATAGTTAGGATATTAAAACCTAACTTGTTGGTACAATAAATATTATTATAATATAATTAAATTAATATTTTTCATTTATGATTTGTACTTTCAAGACAAACAAGCAAGTGTTCTAACTACAACACAATCAGTTTAAATCAAATCAAATATTCTTATATATATTAAAGAAGAAATAGCACAACAGGCAGCCTTATGTGAGCGATCTATTCCAGGCAAACCTTTATTATCAAAGTAGGGATCCGTTAAGAAAATTATGATCAATTAGGGTTCCATGGCCAAACTAATCGGGAACCGCTGCCCTAGACGACCAAAGGCTCTGGTCAATGTATCATCCACATTTTTGTAATATCAAGTATATCGATATGTATGTATTATTTAAAGATCTTGATATATGTTTTTTTTTCATGTCACATACTATTTGTACGCAAATGAATTTGATTTAATTCCTCAAATAGAATTGTAACTTTTGAATTATTTAATTCAATTTAAAGGATTGTTATTTAGACGTTAAAGTTACAGTATTATTGTCATTTTTGTTATCAGTTTGTGAAAGTAGGTTATCTGACGCTGGGTTTATCAGTTTTCTTGAATAAAAATTAATCTTATTAATTAAGAAAGATAACATGAAGTCGAGTTGATTTATTTTATATTTATTCTTGTTATTCATATTGGGAATTGTATAATATAGAGTAAATTTTCCAAAAACAAACGGACTTTAAAGTTTTTATTAAAGCATTGTACACATAAATATCGATCAAAAAAATACTAGATACACAATCAGCGACAAAAAATATCCTCACCGAATAAGCGCTCATTTGGACATTTGAGCGCGCTTTTATTTGTTTGTGAAAACAACTAAGCATTGCATTTAAGGTTGAATTTACATTGATGTTTATATATATACATATAAATAACCATTTTGTTTGTATTTTGAAAAGATTTAACAATATATTTATTTCAAATACTATATTGAACTTATATCATATCAGCTAATATTAAAAGTTATTGTATTTTAATAAAATTCAGAAAGAGAACTTTACCCCTTTACGTATTTATGAGCTGCATTTCATATGGCAATTAGCGAGTGGGAGTGGTTTTGGGATTGTGGGTATATAATTGTTTTCACAGACTTTGTTTTAATAAAGTAAATAAAATAAAAGTATCTGCCAATATATTTTTTTTATTTATTAACCTATTTTAATCAATGCTTGTTGAAATTGTTGAAGTTGTGTTTAACCTTTTTTTAAAGCCTTTGATTGTAAATCTGTACTAATATAAATGTAAAGTTTGTTTGTTTGTTCGTCCTTCTTTTACGTCGAAACTGAATGACCCATTGGCGTGATAGTAGAGAAAGTTAGAGAGATGGAGAGTGACATAGGCTACGTTGGAAATTATCTAATTCCCACGGAGAAACGCGTTATAATAAAATACAAAAAAAAAATTATGATCAGAATTACTTGAAACTTGGGAGTAATGCTCTTCAGTAAAATTAAATAAATACATATTTTTGCATTTTTCGAAATTCACCCTATATGGGGGTAAAATAGGGGATAAAAGTTTGTATGAAACTACCTTTTTAGAGCTTTTTGTAGTTTTAGCGCGAGCGAAGCCGCGGGTTTTGCTAGTAGAATATAAGTTTGATGTTGGCGTCGTAGTCTCCGTCGACGGTGCGGTATGGCGTGCCGGCTACATCGAACCTACTACTTTTAACAAAGTTCAATTTTAATTTGATATGGCGATAATAAAACAATGCATGGGTTGTAATTATTTATGTACATAGAATATAAGTTTGATGTTGGCGTCGTAGTCTCCGTCGGTGGTCTCGTATGGCGTGCCGGCGACGGCGTGCAGGCGCAGCGGCGCGGCGGGCGGGCACAGCGTGGCGGCGTTGGCGCACAGCCGGCGCAGGTGCTGCCACGTACACCCGTACGAGTAGTCCAGCATGTCTTTGAAGAACTTCACTGCCAGCATCTGGTTGAATGGAAATAGTTTTATTAAAGTTGGTGTAGATGAATAAATATATTTGTATGTATATATTATACAGATATACAATATCTGTATGAGATTATACTTGTTTTGATATACGTAAAAGTTATTAGAAATGTTCTCAGAAAAAACTTTTTTTTGGTAAAATATTCATAAATTATGATTTTATAAACTATCGAGATAAACTCTATTAACGAAAATTGTATAAAAAACCTATACATATAAAAGTAAAAATGACAATAAAAGTAGAGTTGCATATCTTCGTTAGACGACCATATAGATTAGTAAACTGTGTATGAGTGTGCGTGTGTGCGTGCGTGTGTGTGCGTGTGTGTGTGTGTGTGTGTGTGTGTGTGTGTGTGTGTGTGTGTGTGTGTGTGCGTACATGTGTGTGCTAGTCCTGCGCGACGCTACTTGCCGTGTAAAGGTTGTTTTTGTAATGGACTACCAGGACACGCAACTTCGCTCGCGCTAAAATTATAAAAAAAAATCTAAAAAGTTGTTTCATCTAACTTTCATCCCCTATTATACCTCCTTATAGGATGAATTTCAAAAAATGCTGAAACAGGTATTTATTTATTTTTATTGAAGATCATTAATACTAAGTTTCAAGTAATTCTGAGCATTTTTTTGGATTTTATTATAACGTAGAAATTAGATAATCTCCTGCTATCCAATTATCTCCACACAAAAAACCACGTCAATCCGTTACTCCGTTTCGACGTGAAAGAAGGACAAACATACAAACACACTTTCATATTTATAATAATAGTATGGATGTGTATGTAAGTATGGATGTGTATATATGTGTGTACGTGTATGTGTGCGTGCGTACCTGCAGCGGCTTGGGCTGGCAGCGGTGCAGGTAGGGGCTGGCGGCGGCGGCGGCGGCGGCCAGGCGCGCGGCGCGCAGGCGCAGCGCGGCGGCCAGGCGCGGCAGCGCGGCCAGCGCCGCGGCCTGCAGCGCGAAGGCGGCGCGGCGGCGGTAGGCGGCGCCCGCGTCCTGCAGCCGGCTGTGCGCCGCCGCGCGCGACAGGTACGCGTACACCACCGGGAGCACCTCCCTGTTTAGCGATGGGGACACACGATATCATGGCGATTCGATAGAATATTCTTAACGAGATGACGACACGTTTGGCTCAGTTTGTAGTGACCCTAATTACTGTGCCAGCGGTTGCGGGTTCGAGTCCTGCTGGCGACATTTATTTGTGTAATGAGCACGAATGTTTATACTCCAGTCATGGCTGTTTATATTTATAATATATATGTATTTCATTTTTAAAGTAATAACATGTGTAGTGTATCAACTATCTGGTATCCATAACACGAGCCTCGTAGCTTACCATGGAACTAGATGGCGCTGTGTGTTAATGTCACAACATATTCAGTACGTTAGATTACAATTTTCATGTTCATATTCAGCCGAATATTTATACTAATATAAAGTTAATCAAATATTCAACGCATCATTAATTAAAATCTATTATTATTATAAGGTGTGAATGAATATATTATGTTCTTTATTAATGTTATAACAAAAAAGAATTAAATGAATGGAGATAATAGTAGGGGAGCCCAAGAGGGGATTTTCTGTAGTTACTCGAGCGCGGCAGATTAACATAAAAGAGGTTACCTTGCACTCTATTGAGTACTTTCACCATAATATAAGTCTTCTATATAAAGGGGCGCGTCTAGGGAAGCCGATTAAAATATTTAAAAAATGTTTTGATAAGGTAGAAATACTTGAAACCGTCAGATTAAGGTGTGGTAGGCTAGTCACATCCTGAAAAGTGTCCAATTCAATAATCTGCCGATTTGCACAAGCCGAAGAGGCAAAAATCGACTATAAAGTTTATGATGATTTTTGCCTCTTAGGCTTGTGTAAATCGGCAGATTATTAAATTAGACACTTTTCAGGATGTGACTAGCCTACCACACCTTAATCTGACGGTTTCAAGTATTTTTACCTTATCAAAACATTTTTTAAATATTTTAATCGGCTTCCCTAGACGCGCCCCTTTATATAGAAGACTTATATTGTGGTGAAAGTACTCAATAGAGTGCAAGGTAACCTCTTTTATGTTAATCTGCCGCGCTCGAGTAACTACAGAAAATCCTCTCTTGGGCTCCCCTACTATAACTTATATCTTGGATGGATAATTTTAAATTGACGATTTCATCGTTATACATAATATGTATATACTTACTTGACAGCGCGACTCCTTATAAAGTCTTTGGACACATCCGCTAGAACGACGAACAGGTCGAACGCCTTCCTCAGTACGGGGGGTTCACTTTCAAACCTTCCCACGAGGGGAGCCCATATAACATGGACTAGTGGAAGCAGTTCATCTTCATAGTCCTTGATGATGGGCAGGCCCAGGGTCAGGATTTCCAGCGCCAGAATGGATTCGTCTCGTTGCAAGGGGATAAAATGTACACAACGCTTTAGTATCGTCAGCGTTACTGTAACATGCCGAGGCACGGGAGGAGCTTCGGCTGGAACCAAACACGTACAACCTTTAAAACTTCGTTCCCGACATCTACTATTCTTGTATACAAATAAAAAAAATTGAAATGTCTGTTTGTAATATCAAAAATAACAGTGTTTTACTAAATGCATATGAAATTATATACGGTACTTATAAGAAAAACAATTTTTTTTTATTTTTGTCTGTCTGTTTGTTCTATATAATCTCTGAAACGGCTGGAATGATTTTGGACTTTCACTGGAAGATAGCTGATGTCATAGGGAGTAGCATAGGTTACTTTTATTTTAGAAAAAGAATTAAAGTCCACTCAAAAAAATTAAAACGTAACTAGTTTTAAAATAATAAGGGTACTAGACAGTACAAAGTGTACTATTTCGACCGACACGACTTTTTATTATTTACTAAGAGCACTCCATCATCCATGTGACATTCCTTGAGGTTTATGGTCCCCATTTCAAGATATATGTATGTATAATAAGAACGATATATTTTGTTTTTTTTTTGTATAATATATTAATTTATTATCATGTACTCACGCGCAACAGTATCGTCGTAGTCCAACAGATCCTCTTCCCGTCTCTTCAGATCTTCCTTGTACATCTCTTCCACACTCTTACCGCACTCTCTCTCAAAATCTCCCTCACTTAGTAATCTCTCCATTTTATCTTTATTTTTCTCGTATTCTATTACATCTTTCAATATGTCTATTTCGTTTTGAGTTTGTACGTTGGGTTTTGGCTCTGTGAGAAACCATTTGCGAATGCAATTGACGAAAGTTAGGAACACTTGGAGATACGCGTACAGATCGTTTTGGTAGTATTTGTCGCAGCTTTGTACTAGAACCTTAAAAGATACAAAGAAAAATCTTTATAAAACAAAAAATAAATAGACTTAAAAACATTACGAAATATAAATTATATTTATCAAAAGAATACATAAAATGCATGTCATAATCTATACACGAAAAAAATAATAGAATTGCGAACCTTCTTCTAGAAAACAGTCAAAATGTAGTTCATTATGAATCAGTAATAAAAAAAAACATATATCCTTTTTAAATAGCCAGAGACATCCTCTCTTCTCCCTCAAAACTTATCAATAGTCGATGAGGTTAACTCAACAGCCATTTTTTTCCTAATTGAATTAAAGTTATTATGATTTCTGATATTTTTATCGAAATAGAAAACAACATATAGCACTCGGCGGTAATGTAACTTCCTATTAGTGAAAGAATTTTCAGAATCGGACCTGTCGTTTTAACGGATTACCCCCTATTTACAAACTTACAAACTTTACCTCTTTATAATATAAGTGTATAATATATGTAGATACTAGCGACTCACCCTCACTTCGCTCGGTTTCGTCCCTAGGTACGTTTTAACGGTTAGTATGAAATAGATACACTATATATACATATGTATGATAAGTTGTTGTGGGTTGTATTATAACGTGTTTTCCCGTGGGAATGAGATAATCTCCCGCGGAAAAATGTAGCCTATGTCACTCTTCAGCCTTCCAACTATCTCCACATAAAAAGTGACGCCAATACGTCACTCTGTTTCGACTTGAAAGAAGGACAAACAAACAACAAGTCCTAGTATGGATTTTAATGGATTAAATGTTATAAAATAAGAGGCATGTCTCACATCTTCCACGATGCCGTAGAGGTAGTCGAGGATGCCGACGTCGCTGTACTCCATCACCACGGCCAGGATCTGCAGCGCGGACTGCACGTCCCATGCCTGGAATATATCATAAACATCGTTAAAAAAACTGAATAACACGGTTTTTACTGTTTATAGGCAAGTAAACTAGCGACTCACCCTCACTTAGTTCGGGTTCGTGCCTAGTTACTTTTTAGTGCTCAGTAAAGAATAGATAGACTTTATATACATAGGTATGATGAGTTTTATATCCCTTACTTGAGAAATGATTGATTCCTCATACAAACTTCCACTCCCGTTTACACCACCTTAAGGGATAATTTCTGGGATAAAAACTATCCTATGTCCTTCCAAGGATGTCAAAAGTTCATCTTAATCGGTTCAGCGGATTAAGCGTAAAAGATAACAGACAGACAGAGTTACTTTCGCATTTATAACATTAGTATGGATATTAGCATAGATGAAGGCCATCTTTTCCCTTCATTAAATTTGAATGTGACGTGTAATTAGCATTGGCAAAGTGAAAAATAGTAAAATATGGATTGGATGCTTTATTTGTAATAAATAATTTAGCGGAATAATAGCTTTTATAGTTGTTTCCCTTTTCAGGTAAGATTATTATGTTCTTTTAAGTAAGTATTATGTTTATATGTTATGTTATTATTTAACAAAAATAAATTCTCTTTTCAGAGCAATGCAAGTTAGTTTTTATTTCGGAAAAATTAACAATTTTTTATAAAAAACACATAAAACACATATGTATGATACTCATCAAAAAGAATCAAATGAGTCCAAATTAATTTACTAGTAGCCATTGAAGAGTTTCACTATCATTGTCTCAAATTATCTAAATTAAAAACGAATAAAACCCATCCGATACAAAAATCACATCTCAACTTAATATATATACTGAATTATCTCTACACTTAAATTTAGTACTATTAAAATGCCTTTCAACTTTTTTATTCAATACACTTTCATTTTTTTTATTGCACTGTTTATTCACTGTATTAATTTAAAAAAAAAACAATTCTATTGAGAATATAATACCTTTTTTAATCTGGAAGTGACTTGACTAGTGAAGTAATCAGCATTCTCGGCGATCAGGTCCGTCACAGAGGGGTGGCCGAAAGCAGCCGCCACATCGTTTATGGCCCTCAGGCCGGCCAGGTGCAGGTTTTCATATTTACTGCCTAAAACATACATTCAAATATTAAACTGTACTAATATTAAAGATTAACCGTTCGAACGTTTGAACGCACTTATCTCCTGAAAGTCTAGTATAGACTTTTGATCTAGATCGATTTGAAAAACTTTTTACTAAAATAGTAACTTCATATTCAGCCCTAAAACTTTGTTTACACTATATTCTACTATATGTTTATTTTCAGTGTACGTTTGTACTACATTTGTTTGTAGAGTACTGAACAATTATTTGTTGATGTGTTCTTTGTATTGTAGTGGCAGCCCAGTGGTAGCGCTCTCGCTTGGGAAACCGAGTAAAGCGGGTTCGAATGTCGGGAGTCGCGCCAATGATATTTTAACATGATTACCACTTGTCTTACAGTGAAGGAAAGCATCTTAAGGAAATGCACGTCTGAGAAAATCTAGCAAGTTTTCGAAAGACGTGGAGTCCGCCAATTCTCACTTAGCATGGTGAATTATGGCCTGCTCCCCTTCGTTGGGAAACCCGTACACAGCAGTAGGAATTTAAAAAGGTCTAAATATGTGTGTATGACGTACATTCATCAAAATGGTCCAGAATGTTTTAGCTTATTAAAAAAAGTTTGAATTTTTCAAATTAAAGACCTGTAGACAGGACAACGTCTGTCGGGTCCGCTAGTATACAAATATAGCAGGTGCGACTTCCCTGACCGATCTGGCCCTTTCAGGCTTAACACCAAAACAATAATCTAACGTACCAGGCATTCATAAATCCTGAGGAACTTACCAACCCTTTCCAATATCAGGCACAGGGTTTTCAGCAAATATGGCTGATAGCTCTCCTTGAGACGTCGCGCCATCATGCCCAAGCCCTCGGTGACTAAGCAGCAGAAGGCCATGTTGCGCTGTGCTTCGACGAGCGTCGCACAAGTGTTATGGTCCACATGTTCGATTCTCGGGTGGGCGTAACTTATGTCTGTGTAGCGGGTTTCTACTGTACCCTCGTATAGACCTGGAATTATTTTTTATATATGTATAGTGTTAGTGGTGTTTTTGGCTATCGTTTAGGATATTTTTTTTTTAAATCTTTATTGCATAAACATGATAAAAAAGTGGTGTACAAAAGACTGACTAAATCCTGTGCTCAACTCGCACGCTTTGAAGTCATTAACAAAAAATGATAATGATAAATTCTAAAAAAAAATCTCAAATTACTAAATACTAAAGATTTAAATCATTAATATACTTGTACATGATATAAATTATTCTCATTATATTATAATTTAAAGTAATACGATTGCTTTTAAAAACATGAAAAAAAAGGAAAAATAACAATAATGGTCACTACGAAAGAAGAAACCCATAACAAAATATATATATATATTCGAAAAAAAAACATTAAATTGGCTCTCCTGTAAAGTTAAGCAAATGTCGCTTAAACCAAATAGCCTTTCACCCGTCGATATATATATTTAGAAGAAAAAACCAAACAAATAAACAAACAAACAGCCACCAACCAGGCACACTGTCCCTGCGCCACGCGCGCGGGTTGTACACGCCCTCGTCCAGCGTGTCGGCGCGCGGCGGCGCCTCGGGCGCGCGCAGCTCCAGCGGCCGGTGCCACACTTCTGCCTCTGTGTACGTTGCTATCAACCTTTTCGCTAGCTCTGGACTGGAATTGGGCGCTGAAATAATATTATAAAGAGTTCATAAGGCTTTTATTTCCTTGTATTTAGCCCTTTTATTAACGTTGCACTGCTGTGCACAGGCGGTTCAATGTGAGGGGATTAGGCCATAGTCCGCAATATTGGCCAAGCTCTCTTAAACATGCAGGTTTCCTTCACCGTAAGACAAGTGGTGATCATCTATACATATAATAAAATCCTAACTAAATCGAATCTGTATATTAAATATTTTTTGGAAAACCTTATTGAAATAGACATTATTATCGATACAGAGACCGAATGTATAATTTTTAGAATTTTTATCTGTCTGTCATTGACTGCATTACGGAAAAACCACTGGAGCGATGTAGGATACTTTTTACTGCGGGAAAATATCTTATTTCTGCGAAATCTGTTCTAAACTTTTAAACGTAGGTATGGACGAAACCGAGAGGAGCGAGGAGGAGTCGCTAGTGTTAAATATATTTTTTATTTACGTTGGAACATTAACACACAGCACCATCTAGTATCATGGTAATCTACGAGGCTTGTGCTATGGAATCCAGATAGTTGATACACTACACATATTTAATTTTAAATGCATACATATTATAAATATGAACAACCATGACTAGAATACAAACTATCATGCTCATCAAACAAATGAATGCCCCCAGCGGGACCCAAACCTGCGACCGCTAGCATAGCAAGTAGGGTCACTACAAACTGAACCAAATGTGTTGTCAAATAACCAGTAGGCACAGATTATAATAGAAGAACATAAGGATTAGGATAACGACAAACTTAACAATATATTGAAGATAGAGTGCCATAAATAAAAAAAAATATGAGTGTAATACACCTAAAAATATCAAATTCTTTCTTACCCGAGCCCATAAAATTCATAATATAAACGAGTTCACAGCTCCTTCTTTCTTGGAACAGTTCTAGCAAACGGTCTAGGAACAGCTCCGCGCTTTCCGCTTCACCGAACTTCTGGCATATCTGCTGGAACCGGATCTCACAGTTCTTCGTATCCAGATGTCTGAGCTGCCGCCACGGCGCGTCCGTCGGAGGCGGCGATGTTACATCTGTATACACAAAATGTAAAGTATTATTATAGTATGTACTTATTTATTTAAGAAGATATATAAACTTCAAAAAGCTGCAAATTAATGGATACTTTAAGACGTATTTTTTTGTTGAAATATCTACGTGGCCACCGCGTTATGAAAAAGGTTAAAATTATACAATATATACACAATAACATTACACAACACTTTCGAGCAGCACACTTCAAGTATTCCACAACATCTCCCCTCTCTATCCCTAATGTTTCACCTCGGGCATCACGTCGTCTCCGCGAGTACCATAACTATCTCGCTCACTCCCCCTACCCATAACTCCTCCCCCTCACCTCGGGCAGCATGCCGTGTGAGCAGGTCGATGTTTACAAGAAGAACGGCGGCAGCTAACAGAGGCGCGGGAAGGCATCATCGCACAGAATGCACTATTCCTGTCTCGCTCACTCCCCGTACCCACAACATCTGCCGTCCCCCTCACCTCGGGCGGCGTGGCGCGTGAGCAGCGCGAGGTCGGCGCGCAGCGCGGCGGCGGCCAGCAGCGCGTCGCAGAGGCGCGGGAAGGCGTCGCTGGGCGAGAGCGCGGCGGTGAGGCGCTGCGGGCGCGCGCCGTCGCACAGGATGCACAGGTAGCCGTGCAGTAGGTTCAGGGCTGAGTATTTGCGATTCGCGTCTGTTTGTTGGTTACATTTATATATGTTAATAAAGTTATTATTTCCAAAGTTCCTTTGACGTTTAAACCTAGGATCTCATATCATAATATTACTTTTAAGAAACTAGAGGCTCACCCTCGCTTCGCTCGGGCTGAATACGATACAAATTATTTAAAAATAAATAATTCCTTACCAATATTATTCAAAATCCTCGGCAAACAGTTGAGTGTTGTGAAGAAGTTCTCACACAAACTGTCTACCGCCTCGAGTCGCTTCTCCTTTGTGGAAGAAAGGAAGTACGAGTTGATGGACTTAGAGCAATACTCCGCGACCTCTTTGTAGTTGTCATTGGATAACGATATTAGCACGTCCAGGGCCATTGTGAGGGACGGTTGCATTGTTCTGATGAAATAATTTTATATATTTGGGAAATCACATACGTTTAAAAATGTATTTAAGCTTGGAGACGACTTAACAAAATGTTAGGTTAGATTTTAGGTAGACTACCAAAAAATATTCTTTATAATTTGAAGTTTAATAATTTATACCATTATTATAAATGCGAAAGTCTATGTGTCTGTAACCTTTTCACGCTTAATCTGCTGAATCGATTTACAATTAGATGAAATTTAGTATTGAGGGTCTTATCTTATTTATAAATAACTAGCATTGCCCGCGGCTCCGCCCGCGTTCAGATGACCAAACACCAAATTCTTAGGTTTTACATATTAGTATATTCTTACTTTGCAGTTTTTGTATTTTTCCTCAGAAATGAGACATTTTCCCGCGGCAAAAAGTATCCTATATGTTGACCCGGACAACCAGGTATCACCATACCAAATTTCATCAAAATCCCTCCAGTGGTTTTTCTGTGATGCGGTAACAGACAGACAGACAGACAGACAAAAATTCTAAAAACTATAGTTTCGGCCTCTATATCGATAATAATGTTTATTTCAATAAGATCTTCCAAAAATATTTAATGTACAGATTCGGCTTAACTACAATTTTATTATATGTATGGGTTTAGTTAATAGATGGAAACAGAAATAAATAAAAAGTCAGTCGGTATTCTGGGACACCCAGTAGGAACGAATTACCTTTCGCTGTCTGATACTTACGATGACGTCACACTATGGACTACCCGGAGCACATCATATTTAGTGAGAATATTTGTCACAAGTACTAGGGGACCATAAAACTCAAGGATTGTCCAATATACATGTAGGATCCTGTCATAAGAGTGCATACGAACTACGTACTACATACATACCTTAACACCTATGTTCTCTGGTACTTATTATGACGTATCAGGTCTATCAAGGTTACACAACAGGTTATCTCATATAATATGTATGTAATTAAAATATGTATATGTTTTGTATATTTTCATTTATGTATATTAATGTATTCATATATTTAACTTTTATTTATGTGTCAGACTTATATACTTTACTAAAAAAAAAAACTACACTTTCTCTTTCTGTCCCGCTATTTAACACTATTACCCACATGCATCGGTTGACTGGAGGAGATCTCTTATAGAGATAAGTCCACCTTTGTCCACGCTACTTTCTATGTATTTTGTTTTTTATAACTTATTTGTGCAATAAAGAATATATAATATAGGGGTTCTCTTAGTAAAAAATAAAAAGTGTCGTGACGGTCACTACTCTTATTCGCCAAGTGGGTTAAGTAACATGAGATAAGAAACTTCGTTAGAAAAAAAACCAATAAACCAATACTTACAAACTACATTCGGAGACGATCCTGTAGCAGAGCACGGCGAGCTCTTTCCTAACCCTGTAATGTTCGTGGGTCACGAGCGGCACCAAGCTCTTCACCACCACGGCTAGCTTGTCGCCCGCCATCGCGTACCATTCTGGTGTACGTTTTGGTATATCTTTGGGGTTTTTACCTGAATTAACATATAATATTATTTTATACGCGTTCTGTTGAGGTTATTTAATATTATTAGTTTATTTAAAAATAGTTTATTTAAGAATACCGCTAAATACTTATAACTTTTCTACCGACTCCCCCTTGCTTCGCTCGGGCTCGCCCTAGGTACGTTTTAACGGTTAGTATGGAATAGATAGACTATATATACACAAGTATGATGAGTTACGGGTTGTATTATAACATTTTTTCCCGTGGGAATGAGATAATCTACAGCGGTATTTTATACGATTAAAGTGACGATTTTCTTTGTTATTTAAAAAGTATAGTAATGCTATATAAATTGACGTATAATATCCTATTTGGAATGATGTTAAATACTGTTTTTACCCGACTGCAGCGATGCCTAATGAAGGATTATGTGTTTGACTTGTATGTATGAATGTCCGATCTTATATCCCATCGTAAGTGCCAAAAGGCTTAACCTATTTTAATGATTCATACGTCGATAGATTCATCTTGATAACGCAAGTTTTAGAGGTTGTATAGTAAAGATATTATTAAAAATTAAAATTAGCCTTCAGCCGAAAATTTTTAATTAAGAAAACTGTGAAAAAATATATCATGAATTTTAGCACAGTATAAAAATACTCTTAAACAAATTTTCTTTCACAAACTTTTAGCTCCACTGCGACTAGTAGCCAACGCTGAGAGCTCCACTGTAGTTGGGAAAAGCTATTTAGGTATCGATTTTATGCGGTTTAAAATTACTAAAAAAATATATATTCTATGTCATCTCCTCTACGAAGTATTCTTTTCCTCCCTGCCCATTTCCCAAGTCACTTGGGGTCGGCTCTGTAAGTCTTTCTCTTCCACTCTTCTCTATTACTCGTCATCTCACCATTCACCCCTTTCTCTTTCATGTCCTGTCTCACACAATCTATCCATATTTTCATCGGCCTTACTCTACTAAGTACTAATACTATAAATTTTATTGATCATACGTTAATTTTCCTACCTATGTTACAACTACAATAAAAATTTAAAAAAAGTAATCTAAACTACAAAGTATCCAACAACATCTAACAATTCGTCGCCTTAGTGCTAATTTATTCAAACGAGCAACACTTACGAACCGTACTTTACAGTAGAGTTTTTTTTCCTCTATACAGAAACAAAACAAAGCTTTATTTCTAAGATTTATATACATATATAGATAAAATACATCTTTTCAGATTTTAAAAGTAAAACGTGTATTTTATACCATTAGAATTGACATATTAAAAGTCAATAATTCTGTAATAACAAATAAAACTTTCGACAAATCGATCGTTTGGACAAATAAGCAATGAGACGACGAACTACAATCTACATGAGGCCTTTACCTGTCTTAGACGCAGTTGGTGAAGGCCTTTCATCCACTTTATCCGTTTGACTCCCTTCTTTGGGGCTAGTATTGCGACGTTTAGTTTTTGTTTTCGCTTTGCCTCTGTCCCTTTTTGATGAAACTTCTGTCTCTTGATCTTTTCCAGATCTTATAAATTCCGCTAAAGAATGGTAATCGCGTGTAGCGATTATAGCACTAAGTCTTGCGTCGCGTAAATTGTCTGCAAATTGTTTATATCTTCACTTATTATATAAACATTTCACTACCACTTTGCATTATATCATATAAATATATTACTTTATATACCTATTATGTAACATAATAACATAATATATAAAATTATACTTATTTCAAAATACATCAAGACAGGCGATTTTAAGTTAAGAGTTCTAATACTAAGATCGACAGATGTAATTTTTAGATGCGGAAAGAATATATTTGATTTGAAGGATCATGCAAGAAGGTACAGAGGTAAAGTTAAAGAACAACAACTAAAAACATCCCAATGAAATTATAACGCTTCTAAGTTTTATCAATTAAAATAACGTAAGATGAAGATACTTTGTTAGCAAAATATTTTAATAATAATAATAATTATTATTATTATGTATTGAAACAATGTAATCCATACATATAATAAAATTGTAACTAAGCCGAATCTGTACATTAAATATTTTTTACATTACCGACACGGAATCTATAGTTTTTAGAATTTTTGTCTGTCTGTCTCTCGGTCTGTCTGTCTGTCTCTCTGTTCATCTGTCTGTCTGTGACCCCATCACAGAAAAAGCACTGGAGGGATTTTGATGAAATTGGCTATGATGATAGCTACGGGTCAACATATAGGATACTGATACCAAGAGATACGGGTCAACATATGGGATACTTTATACTATGGGAAATATCATATCTCATCTCTGAGAAATTTATACTAAACGTTAAAAAGTAGGGACGAACGGTAAGTTAAAAAGTAGCCCTAAGTGCATGTCAGTTGCAGATATAAGATATGATAGGAGTATATAATGTATATAACGTAATTTCGAATTTGACTTATCAATACTTTGGCATGTATAATATTATTGTGAAAACATATATTTTCTTCCTTAGTAAAATTTCGCAACAGATTATAAATGCTTATTAATATTTGCCTTTGTGTGCTATAAGTCTATAGGCATTATATTAAAAAATAAAAAATAATAATGGGTGCGTGTAACCTTTACGCGCGGTTGAAGTAAAACTTCTTTGAAAAATATCACAATTAAATTAAACAAATCAATAGTTAAATAAGGCATGTTAGGCATATTACAATCATATATTTATAGAATACGGAAAGAATATAATTTAAGATATCATTTGTCAGACAAACAACAACATGGCAACAATTAATCATGTATTCTATCTCATTCTCTCGCCGGCTTAACTCTATACCCCTATTTATGTGTTTGTCTCTTTCTCGTGGCGCATTTTCGTTTCAGCGAGTTTCAAATCACAACGATCCTAAAGAAGTATCACTTCAAAAACTGTATATTGCTTCTAATAATTTGGATTAAAACATATATTACGATTTTTTAAAGAACTTCATATTAAGTAAATAGACTATCATGTCTTGTCAAAAGATATGGTAAAAGGGGAAGTCTTTCAATTTTTTTTTTATTATTTTTTTTATTAGCACGCGCATTAAACAGACGAAAACACAGGCAGATACTATGAATAAAAACAACCATATAAAATTGCTTACAATCAAAAAAACATTTGCCATTCACTACATCCCAAATATTGACCAATTAAAATGTTAACTCTTATTTTTAGCTTATTAAAAAAAGAAATTAAATTATTACATACATAAATCTAAACATTTGTATAATGAAATTTTAACTGAGTCGAATCTGTACATTAAATATTTTTTGGAAAATCTTATGAAATAGTCATTATTATCGATACAGAACCCGAATCTATAGTTTTTAGAATTTTGTGTCTGTCTGTCTGTCTGGAAAACGCATCACGAGAAAACCACTGGATAGATTTTAGTGAAATTCGGTATGATGATAGCTGATTATGCGGGTCAATCTATGTCATCTCTGAGAAATCTATATTAACCGTTAAAACGTACCTACCTAGGGACGAATCCGAGCGAAGCGAGAATGAGTCGCTAGTATTCTATATTATTTTTATTTCATAATAATTTTATATGCTATGTAGAGAAGCGTAACGATAATAATCAATTTTAATGAATAATTTTTACTTCTACAAGTCACAAAAAAAAATATTACAAAAAATGATAAAAATATTTTAAAAGAAATTACTCTCTAAGTGCAATTTCAAATAGAAAAAAAGAAGAAAACAAGAAAGCACCAAAGCCACACCAATAACAATAAGAACAACAACAATAAAATCTCTAAAATCAATTACCCTTTGTGCTTACATCTTTGTCCGCCTTGGCGCGTTCCGCCAATAGATTGACAAAGTCGTCCGCTGTAATGGCGTCTTTTTTGTTTAGGTGCTTGTTGTGCATTGTGAGGCAGAGCACGCGATGTATCGCGTTTATTGCCGCCTGAAATATACATGTTTGAACCATACTAATATTATAAATGTTTAAAAAAAATTTTAATGTGTATTCAAAATTTATTTTAAAATATATCCGAAAATAACATTAAAGATTTATGTAATAGTATAAAAAATGTTTTAAAAGACATCAAAATTGAAAGTGCATAATAATTACAAGACTTCCGCAACACCATTCATACAAAGAGAGACAATAGCATTCCCAAGGAGAGTTGACGTCAGGCAGGCGGCCGGTCGTAACACTTTTGCCAAATCCTTTCAGCAGTACAGAAGATGTACTGCGCCGACCCCAAGTGATTGGGAAATGGGCAGGGAGAAGAAGAAGACTAATATTATAAATGCGAAAGAATATCTGTCTTTCTGTCTGTGATAACAGAAAAGATATTTTCACGATTAATCTGCTGAACCGATTTAGATGAAATTTGGTACGAACATAGTTGGAGACCTTGGGAAGGACATAGCATAGTTTTTATTTATTTATATCCCGGAAATCATGCCTCAAGGGGGTGGTAGTTTGTATGGAGAATCAATCATTTCTCAAGTAATGGATACAAAAGTCATCATACCAATTGTGTATATATATTCCGTACTAGCCATTAAATTGTACTTAGGAACAAACCCGAGTGAAGCGAGGGTGAGTCACTAGTATCTATATATTTTATACACTATTATTATAAAGAAGTAGTGTAAGTTTGTATGTAGGGTGTAATCTCTGAAACCACTGTTCGGATTCTGAAAATTATTTCACTAATAGGAAGCTACATTACAGGCGAGTATTAAAAACTAAATAATTTTAATTGAAGTCGGAACATAAGTGGCAGTTGACTTGCTTTATTAGCGCTGATTTAAAAATTTGAAATATAGTAATAAAACCTATGACAAAAAGAACCCTGAGGACTCATCCAAACTAAGCGAAGGTAAGAGTCCCCAGTACGTAAATAAAAATAGTGGTTTAAAACGTAAAAATAAAATTGGGAAAATAAAAGGGGTCCCACCATAGAAATATATCATGATAAAACGATAACTTTCACATTTCTGAAACAAACACTTGTCATGAATAGTGAGAGATAAGGCGCAGGATCGACAGCTTAGCGTGATCTCCGTGGCATTGGGGTGAACATACCATCAACTTCCCAACTCTGGTCTGCTACTGAGTGTTTCAACAGAAAAATCTAAAAACTATTGTGCCCCTGACCCGAGACTCGAACCCAGGACCTTATGATCTACAGTATATGCTAACTAACCAATAATCTAGGCAGTCTTAAACATACAGAAACGTACTAAACAATTGGAAGCTGTTAGAAAAAAAACATTACCACAACAACAGCATGTCCCGGGTTATTAGAACAAGTAGCCACATCCTGCAAGGCTGCCAACACTCCAGGCAGTATACATGACATCATATTGACCACCGCTGTCTCCAGCACTGGGTCTGTTATGTGACAGCGCTTGTCAGTCAGCTGGGGGTGTGAGGCTGTGTGTGCGCACAGACAGTTAATAGCTGCCAACCTTAAAAAAGATAATAATGAATTCACTCTTAATCATTAATTTGTATGTATTACCATAAAACAATAAATATCGATATAGATGAATGAAAGAATAATTGTTCTTTATAAACATCTGTTGTTCTTAAACAGTAGCTGGTCATTAATATGGTTGTGAATGCATGTGTCAATACTGAATCATTTTGGAATTTATGATTACTTAGATATATATTTTAGATGTCAGATTATTTTAGAGATATATTATATTGAAATTTTTATTACAAATAATGATATTTTACTAATTTAACAAGAGTACAGTCAAATTGACCACATTTAATCACATTCAGTGATAAGTTAAAATTGTTTATATAACTCAAACTACTAACATTAACATTTCATTTTTCATAAGCTCTTAAACTTTATTATAGCCAAATAACAAAAAAACAGGCAAATATGCGTGTGACAAAACTTCCCAAGTCTAGGTTACAACACTATTGTTTTGACAGACAAAAACCCAATAACTATAATTGGTTGAATCCAGAAGCTCTGAGTCTTCAGCTCTACATACTGCTGCCACAAAACCAGCTCTCACAATATGTACAGACAGAAAGATCTTTTATAAGTTTAAGTTTTAAGTTCATATTTATTTGTATGTGAAATATATTAAAAATGAGGTAAAATTAAAGTTGAAAATGATATATTTACTAAAAAGTATACAGATTTATAAAACATAGCTACATCTCAATATTTAAAAGTTTATTTCCATACCTTAAACCCCTATGTTTTTCCAATTTTGCCAAATGCACAGACACAAAAACAGCCTGAGCAAGCAATGGCACCTGGTTTTCAACCATTTTGATTCTCGTTGGCTGATCTATGTTTAACATAAGTACAGTGAGACACTGCATTACACTTAGTTTTAACTCCTCTGGTACATCCGCAACTGCAATTGTTTAAGCAGGTTATTTTTAATTATGAATTTAATTTGTGTTATCAATAAAAAAAATATCTTCATAAATGTAAAAGTAAAGTTCATCTGGATATTAATTCAGCGTTTTCTTTTTTCATTAAATAATATGGAGATTCAATAATCAGACTGCTATTATAAATGAAAGATTGTGTGTTTGTGTATGTTTGTTTGCAGATTTTTTTCCAATGGGGAACTTATTTTTAAATGACCAAATTGATCTCCATGCATTTGTTCATTTGCTTATAGTTATTTGATGGATTGTATGATTACTCACAAAAAAATGTATGATTGTTACCTTCACACTAATTTGGTTGACATGATTTGGATAAAATTTAATATATGGATAAACTATGACTTTGAGTATTTGCCCCCTAACAAATCCAAGCATCCAGCAGCAGGTCAGAGTATGTCTTAAGTATTGAATACTTTAAATAGGTAACTATTATCAAACTATTTTTATTTATTGTTAATAAAATAAATAAAATAACGAAGTGCTATATATAGTAAATAGAAAAAAATATGTAAAAATACATACTCATTCCAGGTTTAGGTTTTTCAAAAACTAGACTCAATAGACCCATTTCAATTTTCATACACATTTCAAAACTATTCACCCTGATCTTTTTAAGGACTTCTTTCATTCCAAATATTAAGTATTCCTGAAGTTCATATTTTGTTCTAAAAATAAATTTATTAAATAAACAATAAGTACAACTTTGAGTAGGTAATTGATAGAAAAAGCTTACACTTTTTATTTTATACACAATTTAATTTAAAATATACTTCAAATATAATCAATAAATATCGAGATAGTAATTGTACAGGAAAGCATAAGCATGTCTTAGAATGGGACTTGAACTTTTGACCGGCAAACGCTGGTCGCTAATACTATATAAGTAAATAGATATCATTAAAGGTAAAAAAATCGATACTGTAATACGTACTCTATTTCCTTAGACTGTAAGTGCGTTATGAATGGGAAAAGCATATATTGCTGTAGCTCTTGAATTATTTCTTTATTTAATGCACAGACGACGCCTATAAATGGTGATATATGTTCACGAGAGGGGCTCACCATCACCATGTCGCAAATTGGTTTCAATCGAGCAAAAGCTTCCTTTAAATGTGCATTCATCTTGAATTACTCGTTAAAGATCTAAGTTTTCAAAGGTTAAAGAAACTTTCTAACTCATTGTTTATGCGTTTAAACGTAAATAAAGAATATTACCATTTGCCGTTCAACAAAATAGAACCTAATGTCAAGTTGTCACACTGACATTGTCAGTAAAATATGTCAAAATTATTCAATATTGATTGAACATTTTTGAAGTTACACTGGGGAAGAATTTTGCCTTTTTCTCGCGCTAGATGTCGCGATCCCTTTATCCTGCAGTATATTTTAAAGCTCTATAGAATGGATAGATTTTTTTTATATTATTTAAAATTTAATTAAATTTACAAATTGTGCAGTGGCAGGATGCAATAAAAATGGTTATCATTTGTTTCGAAGAGACAAAAGCTGAACATATTGTGGGATAAAGCAATAAGACGACCAAAATCGGTGAAATCACAATCTTTATATTTAAGGTTATATGGACATCATTTTACAGAAAGTATTTTTAAAACTCTTAAATCGTATAGGGGTGATTTTTTTTGTGCTTTTTTTAATATTCATTACAGAGTTTCATATAAACTTTCATCCCCCATTTACCCCTTTATGGGATCGAATTTTGAAAAAAAACCCACATATATATTAATATAATATTTCTTTTTTTATCTTAAAGCTAAACACCACTTTTTGTGTATTTCACATTAAGAATCACAGCTTCATACAATCTTTAATTTTTTCCCCCTTATGGTATAGAATTTCGAAAAATCCTTTCATAACGCATGCCTACATCATATAAGGAATACGTTCTCGAAGTTTAATATTTTTACGACCAGTGGTTTAGACTGTGTTTTGATCCATCAGTCAGTCAGGAACACCACAGGACGCACCTCTCCTTCTCAGTTTTTTCTTCAGCTGGTCTAACTTCCAGGTTGATTACATTGCACAGACCTATGATGCGAACACAATAAAAGTAAAAAACCAGGTATAAAAGAAATATCACAACAAATTGCTTAACTTTAGATTGAATGTAAATAGGCCATATGTGTTGTGCCCTCCTTTCGCGAAATTTTGCCCCTCCATGAAACTTATTTATGATTCATAAATAGACAAACTAATCAGAGAGCAGTGCATGTCTACTCAGCCTAACAAGTTAATTTAAAGCACTCACTAATTTAAAGATAATAGTATATACCAATGTACTCTGTGAAGACAATATTATAGACACAGTTTGAACTATCTAATGAAAAAAATATTTTTTTCATTAGATAGCCCGTTTATTGAGGAAGGCTATCTAGGCCATTTATATCATAAATGTCAATTAATCGGACAGATTTCTATATATTATTGTAAAACTGATGCTTATATCGGAATTGTAAATGCGGGCTAAGCAGTAGACATTGCTATTATATAAATAATTTAGTAAATTAGGAGTTATTGATGATAGCTTTAAGCTAATTTTGTTATGTAAGAGTTCTTTCCGCTTCTACTATAAATTCTGAAAATTGCAAATTAATAAGAAGTTAATATAATTATTATACATATTTGTTTATATGTACATACTAGTAATTCATATAGATAAAAATATTCAAAAAAATAAAGGTTGAAAGTCAATGAAAAAGGACTTTAAATTATATCTTAATCAGTTATCTGCCTGTTGCCTGTACAACCTATTAATAATATATTAAGTAACAAATGGATTTCATACGTTATGAGTATTTAAAAATGGAATAATAACACAATTAACATCTGTAAAATGGTTGAAACTGTCAAAGTCAGCTGCGGCCTGCAAAATGTCAGAGAGGTATATGTCAAATGGTTACAACTTACAGTGCAAATGCAATATTTAATTAATTAATTTTACTCTAGAAAGCAATGTTTTTATAATATCTCATCAAAACGACACGATCAAGATGTTTTCGCTAGGAGGACAGCGAGTCTTACATAAGTGCCTCAAGATTTTGAGGTTACATATTGTAGATTTTAGTAGTTTGCCAGATATTAAGAAACTAAACCTCGTAAGGACAGTTGAAAAGACTATAGATAGCAACACAAGTATTTTTATTGAGAGCCCAATCCATGTGAAAGTACAACCAATAGATGTGAACGATTTAAAGGCACACAACAAGCTTACTATGACTTTGTATAGTCTAGGAAAAGATACAAACGATTTTCACGTAAAACAGACTTCTAAGCGGTTAGAGTTATTAAATAAGACAACTTCATCAGATCGAAATGATGTATGTTTAATACAAGTTCCATATAAAGTAAAGGTACAAGTTAAAACTACAGAAAATGCTTCAGTGCATTTAGCTAAACTAGAAGCTGAGGAATTTGTTGTCCAAACTCAAAAAGGAACAGTAAATATTGCTGATTTGAAAGCTGATAATATAAAAGTGGAGACAGCATCAGGTGACTTACAAACTGAAGGCAGATTACAAGCAAGCAACATTGATTTTAAAACTGGTTTAAATGGAGGTATTAAATGTAATAATATAATGGCAAATTCTTTTAATGTAGTTTCACATGGGGGTCACATATATGTCAAATCATGTTATAGTGATAAATCCCACTTCACTACTCTGATGGGCAATATCAAGTTAGACAACTTGCATAGATCGGTGAAGATAGATGTAATACAAAAAGGCAACTTGCACATCACAGGATTTACTGGTAATTTGGAGGCATCTTTAAAAAGTGGAGATGTTTATATGCACGCAGCACAATTAACAGAAAAAAGTAGTATATTTTTACATGAAAAAGGCAAGGTGGAGCTACTCATACATGACATATTAAAGAACTTGCCTTCTACAAATTTGATAGCTGAAAAAATTCAAGTTGATGAAAAAATACTGAAACTGGGTAGATTCATGGATGATTCACATCCAAAAAGATTTCGATATGAAAAAGATCCTCAAAATGAATTACACATAGTCTGTAAAAATGGCTCTATAGATTTAAAGGAGACCAATATACCATTTCTCATATAATAATAACAATAATATTACATAGTATGAAATATATACGATTGCTCATATTAACCTTTTCAAGATATTAAACAAACTTTATTTGTTTGCTTTAGTGACATCAAATATAATTGCATTTTAGTGACAAAATAAGATACACTTTTATATTTATATTATAAAAAAGAGTAAAATTAGTAAAATTAGTTAATGTTTCTACTTCATAAACATCAAAGTTCTCAACCGGCAATATCACAAGAAAACCATGTTTGTGTCATATCTATATATTATTTAAATTCTAATTTTAAGTTAAGCTAAGCACAAAATGTTCTCTGATTAATAATAGGCCCTAATTACCAAGATTATGAACTTCTAAACTTTTATTTATTTCTTTGTTATTCCATGCCTATCTTGTTTCTCGGAATTGTTTATGTAAACAGATTTTGATTATAAGACTAAAGTTTTCAAAATGATATTTATTCACAAACATATTAGTACTAAACTAAATTTTTGCAGAATTAGGAGTTAATTCATAGTAAATTATAATAGTCACTATGACATGATATTTGGTCTTCCACACACATAAAATGTAAAACTGCTTTAATAATTTGTATAAATTCACTTGAACTAAAAACTTTTACCTTGCATTTGTATATCTCTTTATAAAAATAAGATATTTTTTTAATAACAAAATAAATTTCCTGTGTAATTTTTTTTTTAAATTATTATATGTAAATATATGAAGTACTTTCGAACGCCTTTTTAAAATCTTAATTTATATTTGTAATCCCCGACGCAAAAACGATGGGGCGTTTGTTATAAGTTTAACGTGTCTGTGTGTGTCTGTCTGTGGCATCATAGCTCCCAAACGGATGAACAGATTTTGATTTTGTTTTTTTTTATTGAAAAGTGAATTAGATGGGAGTGTTCTTAGTTATGCTTGATGAAAATCAGTCCAAGATGGTCGGGGGTTTTTAAATTATAAATTTAATTTAGTTATTAAATAATATCCGTTTAATGTTGTCACTACTACCTATACCAAGAAATGTACTTAGTAAATTTCTTCTAGACTTATTAATTCTATGTATGCCAAATTAAAAACATTATTATTTCTATTATAAGGTACAGTATTTTTCAAATGTAATCTATTGCATTTTTTTATTCATTTAATTGCATTATAAGATAATGTATGACATAATATATGCTAGTGTTTAAATTACTTATTAAATAATTATTATGTAAAGGGATGCGCTTATTTAGAATTTTTCAGTTGTGTTCTTGTTAATATGTTAGAATCTAAGATATTGTGTAAAGTTTTTCATTATATTTCATTCATGCTGTAGTGTGTAGCTTTGTGATATTTAGTTCCTACCTAGTCTTTGCGTTCTGAATAAGTATCATTGGTTTTGTAAATATACGAATTTTTTTAGTACATTAGATTAAATTATCTTCTACTATATTCTAAGACTGGCAGCCCAGTGGTAACGCGCTCGCTGGTGAAACCGAGCGAAGCGGGTTCAAATCCCGGGACTTGTACCTCTGATATTTTCATGTGTGAATCATTTCTAACATGATTACCATTAGTCTTACGATGAAGGAAAACATCGCGAGAAAACCTGCGTGTCCGAGAGAACCTATTTTTTTTCGAAAGACATGGGAAGTCGCCAACCCACACTTGGCCAGCGTGGTGGGCTGTGGCCTGATCCCCCTCGTATTGAATGGAGGACCGTGCTCAACAGTGAGACGTTTAAAAGGGCTGAATACATACATATTCTAAGACCATCAGTATAACACGACATAGATGAGCCCCCCGAGTATTTTAAAAAACAATGATTCCAGTAGGACTCTAATAAAACGTTAACGTGAAAATTTTATATGTCATATTCTATATCGTACTCGTCTTACTATGTCTCATGTATTAGGCTATCTTTTAACCAGATACGTCAAGTATTTTGTATACCAGTAGATACTTAAGGGCACTTGTCTCTCAATAATAGACTTATATTTCTGATGTAACTGGTGACTTTTTACAATCCATATTTAGGTACTCATGCTCTGCTGTTTTAACTCTTCTTAAACTTAACTGTTGTAGATAACCTATTTCATATTTAAAACTCGTGCAATTATGTTAGCGTTTGAAATGTGTAGCTTTTTTTAATATACCATCAGCATCACGAATCATATAATTTTAATATATGTACACATAAAATAATTTTCTAATGTAGGACAATTGTAAAGCATTGCATTTTTGTAAAGCTAGAATATTGATTAGGTTTAGAATTTTGTAGATGTATGTCTGATTAAGTTATGTGAAACCAAATTATATTAATGTTGACGTTATAAATAAACTTATTCTAAATGAAATAAAATGTGTTTTTATTTGAACGTTTTTCGCTGAAACGATTTTGAATATTGCAGATTCGTTCAGAGAAGATCCCCCAATATACTACATACATTGTACATTGATATATAAATAAAAACATAGATACACATTACCTAACAAACACCTCTTGAAAAAGGGCCGTCGAAACCAAAAAATAATTTCGAATGTTCAGATACAAATAGTTTCGCTTATGCAAGTTTTACTATTTTTGATATAGTAAAAATAAAAAAATCTTGGATACCACTTGCCTTATTTGTTTAATATATCGTGGTTGTATAAAAACACCAGTACAGTGTGAGTGTACTATGTAAACATAACTTCGTAGATAGAGTCCTTAATAAGATAATATAACCTGACTTGTCGCACAACTACTGTAAATAAATATTATGTATATTTTTTTTTTACTAGGTAATAGTTAATTGGGTGCAAAGATGATTTGAGTGTACGCAGCCGATAGAGATAAGAGGTCATTTATATACGAAGGAGAGCTACGCGCGCGACAGTTTATCGTTAGACGCTCGCGATGCCGGCTTGTGCGTCCGAGTACCGCCTCATGCGGTCAGCAGAAGTTGTTTATACTCCTGGAGCAAAAAGATGTACCCACCAACCAACTATAACGACGTTACGACGTACATTTTCGTCAACCTTCTCTCTCATACCTGAAGAACGTGAAGTCCCTGAGGATCCACCTTCTCTACCTCGGATCGTAGAAATTATTATGTGGTTTCCGAAACTACTTCTTCAGCCAGCAATTATTTTTTTCAAAATCTTGTGCCACCCGGCTTGGCGACAAATACTGGTCGTTCTACCAACCCTGTGGATTGCAGCATCGTTATTTATCTTTTGGAAGTGCGTTCAGTGCCCTATCATTATTCTGAATATGATCATTAATGCTATATCTAGTAAAGGCGAGATAAAACGTACCGTATTAATCAGTGGAGGTAGTTCTATCCAAGCGTTACATTTGGCAAGAAATTTTCATTCTATTGGTGCCAAAGTGATAGCTTTCGAGATAGAAGGTCAATTCGCTTTGCTGAAGTATTCTGCAGCAGTCACCAAATTCTATACTGTACCTCGGCCAAACCCGGCGGATCCTCTTGCATACGCACGTGCTTTGAAAGAAATTGTTGAAAGAGAGTCTGTTGTATTCTATATACCGGTGAGCTCGTCGACGCCCGCGTACTACGATGCTTTGGCGAAGCCTCATTTAGAAGTGTTGGGTTGTCAATGTTTTGTGCCGTGTGCTCGTGATGTTATCACCTTAGATGATCCTATGGAACTAATACGTACTTGTCGTGTGGCCGGTCTCCCTACACCACAACATTGGTTTGTTACTAGTGAAGCGGATGTCCGAGCCTGGTATGACAGTGGAGTAGCGAAGGAAGGCCGCTACTTCATCGCGAGTTCAGGTCCGCGAGGTGCGAGGGATCGCATGAGGTTTGTTATGCCCGATGATAAAGAAAAATTCAGGTTTCCGCGAGAAATTAGTTCTGAAAAACCATGGGTTATTGTAAAAGAACCGAAAGGTGAGAGGATCATAACTTGTACAACTCTAAAAGAATCTCGTGCAGTTAATAATGTTAATTGTCGCGTAGATACTACCAAGAAAGGTCTTGTGCCACAAATAGACGAAGAGTCCGATGCTTGGGTGCAAATGTTTGTAACTGCTCTCAAACCAACGAAGCCTATGACAGGTCACGTATCGTTCAGACTTGTACGTGAAGAGCACATAAAAAACGGAAATAAGACTAGGATGGTAGCGATAGGAGCCCGTGTTGGAGTATCCCTGCCATATTTATGTCAAGGATCAAAGAGGTGTATTCATTCAGTTGGCATGAGGAGGCTTTTGAATTCCGTACTTGACACACGTGGAGCGCTTTTTGCCTATTGGGACCCGTTACCTTACTGCGCATACTACCAGGCCCGATTTCCCGAAGACCGGCAGCTGCCACCACCGGAGCCCTGCAAAACTCCACCGAACGTACCTCTCTGAGAGCCTCATGCGGCTGACACGCCTCAGATAGGCTAAGGTTATTTATTAAGGTTCTGTACCTGAAGAGTGCGTGGGAAGCCTCATACTGTCTTCGGAGTCACGCTCTCTATTGTCCACTTCCTCGGACGAGACATACAGCTCGTGCGGTCAGAGGACGATTGTTACGTAACTACTAAGTAGATATACGAGTACAATCATCATGTATGATTACTATAGACTTATTATTAGTTATTGATTAATATTAACGTCTATTAATATTTTATTCTCATGATGTGGTATACTTATTTATTTATTTCTCTTTTATATTTTGTATTATGTAGTAAAGAGATCGAGTTATATCGTTATAAAATATATAATATTCATGTATAATTCTACTAAGAATTTTTACTATTAAGTATAAATAGTCATAATACGCACTGACTTGTTTGTATATTTAACTATCAATTAAGTTGTAGAGGGTGTCAAAAGTTCAGAAGATATGCAGCTAGTTCCGTTAGTGCCATGACGAAATGTTATTTTACAAAAATGTAGTGTCGATTGAAGAAAATATACGATTATGTTATAAAAAAGTTATTTTATTTATGCAAAATACGGCCTATTTTTGATAAAGTAAGAAGAAAATAGAAAAAATTTTCAAGAAATATTAAGAGTTTATATACTAGCTTCCAACGAACATATAATCAATTGAGGGCAAAAAATACGTAGTTGATGACTAAGTAGGCTAGAATAATAATTCATCAATTAGATAACGATTTTAAACATACAATTTATATTTGTATAGATTTAAAATTTAACTCATTAGTAAAACTTTGTTAACATACGCAGTTGTACGAACAAAACGATAAATTATTCGCAATTTTTACATATGAAATCAGCCTTAAAAATATAGGTAGGTACAATTTCAATAATTTGCAGTAGAAACCCATGGCCTATGGAGTCGAAGTGCTAAACACTTCTTACAAGACGTCGTCCCAACGTCTCTACTGGTGCCAATAAAATCGGTTCGTTTTTCGCCAAACGAACCGGCCTTGCCATTCAGCAGAGGAATGGAAGCAATCTTGCCATACTTCGACGAACATGACTTGTACAATAATTATTGAGTGTATCTACATTTGATTTATATGTAAAGTTTACGATATTTGTAAAAAAAAACTAAAATAATATAATCTATACCAACATAATGATATAATAAAATTCTAACTAAGTCGAATCTGTACATTAAATATTTTTTTGGAAAATCTTATGGAAATAGTCATTATTATCGATACAGAAGTCAAATCTATAGTTTTTAGAATTTTTTTTCCTTCCATCTGTCTGGGAACGCATCACGAGAAAACCACTAGACAGATTTTGATGAAATTTGGTATGATGATAGCTGTTTTCAGGGTCAACATATAGGCTACGTTTTACTGCGGGAAAACCTCACCTCTAAGAAATCTATACTAACCGACAAAACGTATATACCTAGTGACGAACCCGAGCAGAGCGAGGGTAAGTCGCTTGTACATCATATAAAAATAGTTAATAAGATACACATTTTCATTAAGAAAATGCAAAGAAGTTAAAATAAACCAGTAAGTTACCTATAAAATATTACACAAAACGTTTTTTTTACAAAACGTCTAAATATAGGAATATTATTTTACAAAGAGCAAGCTGATATATTTGTGCATCAAGCGCGATAAGGCCTGAAACATGTAATAATTCCAGTGCACTTGCTAGATATGTTATCACCGTCCGGGTCACCAGACGACCGGCCAAAGAGCGCACCTTTCCCGATCTAGCGGACAAACAGACTGAGTAAAGGGCGTAAATACTAATTAAAGCCTTCTTGAACCTTCTTTAACGTTTAATTAATTTCGATTTTAGTTCTGTAGGTAGTTTTTTCGATGTTTGCCCAATTTTATTCGTGCACAGACAAACAGACTTAGGTAATTGACATACCTATGTACATCAAAATGTTTTAAACTATTCATTAAGTTTTACTTTAACCTATTTTTTCCTCCTAAAACATATATTAGAAATACATATAACTTTTTAATCAAACATACTACCTTGATTCCCGATCTATTGAAATGTATCTAAGTAAAGGCTATAGTTAAAACGAAGGAGGCTATGTGAATTGAAATTCTTAATAAACTAAATACAATTCAATACATGACTAATAATATAAACAATTTATAATAATAATAATTAATAATAATAATATATTATTATTATTTTATAATAATTTTGAGTGATTTACTACAACACTAAAAAACAACACAATACTAAAAAATCTATATCGTATTCAGCCCTTTTTTAACGTCCCACTGCTGGCCACGTGCCTCCTTTTACTATTTTTTTTTAGTAAAATCTACCTATATAGCTAAATCAAAATTATATATATACCTAGTTATTGACCTAGCAAAAACATGTATATACAATGTTCATATGTATATTAAAATTTAACTATTTAAATAAATATTGGTATGTATTTACCCTCCATTAATCTATTCTGTACTTTCTAAACAGTATAGGTACATTTAAATTAAATCAACTTTAAAAAGGAAGAGGTTCGGCGCGTATATCTAATGAATTTATAACAATTACCTACTTCCCTATGTTTTCGTAGCTATGATAGATATCTTTGGACGTAAGTTGAGATTTATTTTTATTTTTGTTATCTCCATAACTAAATAACCAAATTACATACGTTAAAGGGCAAATTTTATCTGTAGTCAATATTGAAGAGTCGTGACAATGAAATAATTTACTTTTATAAAGATTAGCATTATATAATTTATATAAAAAATATATTTTAAACATATAAGTGAGTACATATACCTGTTTGATAAAATATAAAAGTTGGGTAGGTATATTCTAAAAAAATCAGCGATACCGGTTTTTTTTATAGAACTATTGAAGTTATACTAAGACAGTGGTAGCCCAGTGGTAACACGCTCGCTTGAAAAACCGAGTGAAGCGAGTTTGAATTTCGGGTCTCACACCTCTGATAATTTTAATGTGCGAAACATTACCAACATGATTACCACTTGTCTTACGATGAAGAAAAACATCGTGAGGAAATCTGCTAACTGGGAGAACTTTACAAGTTTCCGAAAGTCATATGCAGTCCGCCAACGTGCACCTGGCCAGCGTGTATTTTAGTCGATTTGCTAGAGAAAAATCGAGACAGTTCGGCTAAAACACATTTGATACAAATATCATTTATAGCCTACAAGCGGCTCATGCTCGCTTCGCTCGGGTTCGTCGCTAGGAAAACAAAAACAAACCTATCCCCACGGGAAATGTACATTTTTCCGGAATAAAAAGTAGCCTATGTGTTATTCCAGACTATAATCTATCACTGTGCCAAATTTCATCCAGATCCGTTCAGCCGTTCTGGCGTGAAAGAGTAGCAAACATCCATACACACGTACAAACTTTCACATTTATAATATTAGTATGGATCTAGTCTCCTGTAATGTAGCTATATACTAGAGAAGTTCAGTAGTTTTAGAGTTCATAGACTGCAAATAAACAAACAAAATCTTCCTCTTTATAACATTAGTATATGTAGATATTCATATACCAAGCTTTATAAATTTATTTGTGGTGAATTCACTGATGTTCCTAATACTTAATTATTATTAGCTTTGTCTAAAACAACACATAAGTAATAAGTAGATCGTTTAAATTAATTGATTGGATCCAAAAATTCAGCTCAATGCCCTCACGTAACGTTGTGTCATAAAAATGAAGATCATGTTACGAGTTATATTAATATGGTTGCGATTAAACGAATATAGGAACAAAACAGTATACTTATTGCTTAAGTAATTAGAATACCATTTACTGGTGTTAAAATTTTAAAAGTATTTTTTGTTTGCTGTGAAACATCTTATGTGGCGGGTCAAACCGGCTGTTGGCGTGTCGAATATACTGAAAAGATTGTAAAGTAACTTAAATACAATGTAATATATTATTAACTTTTGAAGAAATTAATTAATTTATCCAATGACTATAATTGTCGTCTAACGAATTTCAAGGCTTAACAAGAACAACAGTCCAAATATTATGGACCGATGAATACTTAAAATATACTAGTGTTTGCCAGCGGTTCTAATCTGTTGCCTTTATCTATTAAGGGTTACGACCCCATCATAACATGTCACATAGTCGAGAATGTATGTATCTCCTTTAAATTTCAATGTAAAATTCAAAGGATTTTTTTTTTGCGCTTTAAGCTTCATCTTTCCTATAATAGGTACGTGGGCGTTTCGTAATATCATGTTTTTCGGAAAAGATGTAAAAATTGCTTTCTTTTTAGAAAATATACATAAAAAGCAAAACCTTACCTAAAACAATTTGATCCAAATCATTATCCATAAGATTAGTATCGATTAGCATTAATGGCATACACATATTTTTAGAGCCAAATAATTGTATCCGGTATATAGGTAAAATTTAGTGATGATGATGATGATGTTCTCCTGGCCGATTCCGGCCACGGCGGCCAATCTCATTGAGACTAGCCAACTGCACAGGAGATATTATAGTGCACAAGTGTACGCGCACACACAAGTGCACTCTCTATTCTTGTCACTCTCATACTCCTGTGGGACGACTACTCGACACGACCAGTGAGAGTTAAGGCGCAGGACCGACGGCTTTACGTGCTCTCCGAGGCACGGGGGTGATTTACCGCGAACTTCCCAACTCCGGGCTGTTACTGAGGCTTACTATACAGAAATACTCAAATAACTATACTTGGCCCGACCCGGGACTCGAACCCAGGACCTCCGGGTGTGCAGCCTTACATGCTAGCAACTACACCACCGAGGCAGTTCAAAATATAGTAATATAAATAAAAATAAACCACAGGAAAGAAAAGAATACAGTAGGTATGATACGTGCCATTGCCTTGTGCTATATCGTGATCGGCGGTCATAAGCCGTGTGCGTGCCGTGGGCGGGACTCGATAGCGAGTACGTAGTAGTACGCATATGCGATGC